CTTGGATGGTGTGTTGCTGCATACTAAGGGGCTGGACTGGATGGCCCATGTGGTCTCTTCCGATTCTATGATCTGGTGGTCCATGCTCTTGTTACGTCTTGCATAGACTACTGCAACACACTTTACATGGTGTTGCTTTTGAAGATGGCCCAGAAGCTTCAATCAGTCCAATGGGCGGCAGCCAGATTTCTAATGGGAGCAGCATACAGGAAGCATGCAATTCCCCTGTTGTGTCAGCTCCGCTGGCTGCTGATTTGCTACCAAGCCCAATTTAAAGTGCTGGTTTTGGCCTATAAAGCTCTAAATGGTTCCAATCCAACTTACCTTTCCAAACGTATCTCCTCGTATGAGTGTGGAGCTCATCTCCATTTCTAAGCCGAAGAGCCGGTGTTGTCCGTAGACACCTCCACGGTCATGTGGCCGGCATGACTGCATGGAGCGCCGTTACCTTCCCGCTGGAGTGGTACCTATTGATCTACTCACATTTGCATGTTTTCGAACTGCTATGCTGACAGCGGAAGCTCACGCCGCTCCCCGGATTCGAACCTGCAACCTTTCGGTCAACAAGCTCAGTGCTTTAACCCACTGTGCCACTGGGGGCTCCTCAGTAAATAATTTTTTTTAAAATCAGTAAATAATAAAACCCATAAAAACATAGATCCTCCGCATCTCATTATCAAAATCATTATCCAATCACATTGTCCAGTCATTCCGAGATCAGGGCTTGCCTGCTACACTGCATTTGAGAAAGCCTGCTCCAAAAGCCAGGTTTTGACTTTTTTGCAAAATGTTAAGAGAGTGGGGACTGATCTAATGTCCCTAGGGAGGGCGTTCCACAGCTGAGGGGCCACCACTGAGAAGGCCCTGTCTCTTGTTCCTGCCAACTGAACCTGAGAAGGCGGGACTGAGAGCAGGGCCTCCCCAGAAGATCTTAGTTTCCTATGAATGAAGTAAATAATAAAGTAAATGGAGTAAATAATAAAATAATTTAGGACAGTGTTTCCCAAAATTTGGGAATTTGACTTTCGCTCCCGGACTTCCTGTTGCCTAAGCTGGCTGGGGCTTCTGGGGGTTGAAATCCATAAAGAGGCCCAAAGTTTTGGAACCAAACCTTTAGTTTATTTTGACCCTACCCTCCCAAGCTTTGTTGTCTGCAGATATGGCTGGAAAAACAGTTTGAACTTGCCCCTTTCCTTTTGCGCAAGGGAGGCTTAAGGAAGGAAGGGGAGATTAGGCCTGATTCGGGGGGGGGGGGGGGGGGGGGGAGAGGCGAAGAGTGGCTGTTTTCCCTTGCTGCCTCCCCCATCCCAGTTGCTGGGCAGTTTTGGGCCCTTCCCTCCCCTGCCTGCGACGTGCCAGTCTGTGTCTCAGCTGTGGCGGCTGGGGTCACGTGGTCGGCGTGGGGCGGGGCCAAGGCACGCTTAAAGCAGCCTGTTCCTGCTGATAGTGTATCTTAGCCGGCAGAAGAGGAGGAGAAGGAGGCCTAAAAGCTCGTCCTTCTTGGAAGGCAAGCGGAGGTATGCAGGGTACTGCAAGGACGCCTCAGAGGGGGAATGGAAGGGCTAGGATCTCCATTGCTTTTCTAGGGAAAGCAATGGAGATCCTAGTAGGTTGCGCCAGGGTGCAAGCCCTGTGTTACTCAGAGGGAAAGTGATCAGCCGCCCAAGTTGCTTGGCTGCATTCCTTTCTGATCCTTGCACGTTGAGAGAACCCCTTTTGGTGTTGAAACTTCCCTCTGGGAGCAAAGGAGAGCAAGGCTGGATGCTTGGCTAGCTTTGTCTGTGCGGCTCAGCATTGTTTGGGATCAGAGGCAGGCCTTTTCTAGAAACAGGAAGAGTTCTTTTAAAAAAGGAAATATTACTGCTATTTGTTCTGGCTTCACTGCAGTGTAGATCAACAAGGTAGGGTGCACCTACACTGTAGGATTGGTGCACTTTGACTCCACTTTAAACTGCAAATTTAATGTCTATGAAACCATGGGGGTGATATGTTTAGTGTTTCTAGTCTTTTCTGTCCGTAAGTGCCGGTTCCTCCCAAAATTTCCATTTCCCAGAATGCTACAGCATTGAACGGTGGCAGTTAAAGTAGTGTTAAACTACTTTTGTAGTGCAAAAACACTTAAAAACAACACAATAATTAAAATAGGAATGAATTCCTATGCACACTGCTCATATCTTATTTGTAGTGCAAAACACTTAAAAACAATACAATAATTAAAATGAAGAACAATTTTAACAAATATAAACTTATTAGTATTTCAGTGGGAAGTGTGGGCCTGCTTTTGGCTGATGAGATAGGATTGTTGTTGTTATTTTGTGCTTTCAAGTCATTTCAGACTTAGGTTGACCCTGAGTGAAGGCCAGATAAATGATCTTGGAGGGCATATCCGACCCCTGGTGTAGATCAGTGGTTCTAAACATGTGGGTCCCCCAGGTGTTTTGGTCTACAACTCCCAGAACTCCCAGCCAGTTTACCAGCTGTTAGGATTTCCGGTAGTTGAAGGTCAAAACATCTGGATCTACAGGTTGAGAACCAGTCGTCTAGACCATGTACTTTTGGAGAACTGCAAGGTGTTATAAATAAAGGTGAGGGGAGTGGGAGGGATGTAAGCATTTGGATTCTAACAATGGAGCTTTGGGTTCCCACCATGACCAGACCTACTATCCTAACCCCCCCCCCCCCCAAATTTATTTACACCTTGAAGAATTGCAATTGTTATCCTATGAAAACTAGACCCATTTCTAAATTAGGGCAGGACCCATATCCAGTGATTGCAGTCAGGGATGTTGTAGTCCTCAAAAATTCTGAATGGGTTTAGTGGTGTAAATAATGATAATAATGATAATGATGATAATAATATAAACATTACACAGTCCCATTTTTTGTGATATTGATGTTGGAAACCAGCCTGAGTCCCTCGATGGAGGTGAGAAGACCGGTATACAAAACTGCTAAATAAATAAATAGACGCTTGGGAAGTGTTCGACTTGTGATTTTGTGATACGAAATCCAGCATATATATCTCGTTTGCTGTGACATACTGTGTTTTTGTGTCAGTATAATAATAATAATAATTACTACCCGCCTTTCCTCGTATCTTAAAGTGGCTTATATCATAATTAAAACACACAGCATTGTAAAAATTAAATAAATACACATTAAAATGTATTTCTATAAAATAAGAGCTCTTTCTCGCAACATGCTAGTTTGTACTTGCAGCAAATTTCCTGCTGTATGAGAAGAAACCCCTGACATATACTGTCCAAACAGACATAATTATTTTAATGAAACATAAAAATAATTCTGTTTATCCTGTAACTTGGATGAAATAATTGCTATTTATTTTGTATCAAAAGCATGGCATAATAAATAAGTTTAAAACTGATAAAATAAAGGGATCACAGGCAGCTAAATAGTTTTAGACCAAAAATGGGCAGCAGCGACTGCATTGTCTGTAGCTTTAAACCAGTGGTTCTCAACTTGTGGGTCCCCAGATGTTCTGACCGTCAACTTCCAGAAATTCTAACAGCTGGTAAACTGGCTGGGATTTCTGGGAGTTGTAGGCCAAAACACCTGGGGATCCACAGGTTGAGAATCACTGCCTTAAACACTTTTTCCTCTGTTCATGAGGCGGGGGTTGTGGGCAAGCATACAGTTCCTGAGTTGTTTGTTCTGCTCCACAGTTGTACAAGGTGGAGGATTCTTATAGTTTGTGCCATTTTGCCAGGTTGTCTTTTGATTTGCCCACTCCACTATTGAGTCTGTTTAGGGACTTCCAAGTTGCCCATTCTTGGTTTGCCCCTGGAGGAAGACCCTCTGAGGGGGCCATCCAGTTGGAATTACCTGATTTTGCTGCCCACAAGGATATTCCTTGCTGTTGCTGGAGGAACATTTAGAGGAGTGGTGCTTCTCATGAAACTTTTCCTTGATTTAAGTCTACTGGGAGGAGGCTGGTAGCCATACAGTGGGTGGCTTTCACAGTGTTCAACCTTATGAAATAATTGCTATAAAATCTGTGTTGAAGATTGATGGAGAATGATGAATAGCCCCAAACTGAACCTGAACGTTGTTGGCATTCCAGGGATATATGAAGGTGACAAAGGAGGGAAGGCTTATAATATCAGTAGGAATCCCGACATATGGGCTGTTCATTAGTAAGCCTTGGAATTATTGAGGGGGATAGCTGACTTAGGTTTTGTCCAGTTAATCCGTGCTGTTCCTTCTGTGCTCTCCTCATGTTACTTGTCACCATAACTCATTTTGACACCCTGCAGTCAGTCATTGGGTGCAGAACTTGCTTCTTCTTTGCTATTTAGCAAATGAAGTATCCGTTCAGATTTACCAAAGTTTTGTGCTTGGTTTCCAAATCTGTCAGCAGTGCTGAACATGGTTGTTCAGGTATTCAAAGTGCTGTATTGGAACCATTAGCCAGTCCAGATGGAAGAGGTAACCCTATGGCAGGGGTCCTCAAACAAAGTCCTCCAAGGTCATTTACCCTCACTCAGGGTCAACCTAAGTCTGAAACAACTTGAAAGCACGCAACAACAATCCTTTCTCATCAGCCAAAAGCAGGCCCACACTTCCCATTGAAATACTAATAAGTCTGTATTTGTTAAAATTGTTCTTCATTTTAATATTGTATTGTTTTTAAGTGGTTTTTGCACTACAAATAAGATGTGTGCAGTGTGCATAGGAATTCATTCAATTTTTTTCCAAATTATAATCCGGCCCTCCCAACAGTTTGAAGGACTGTGACCTGGCCCTCTGTTCAAAAAGTTTGAGGACCCCTGCCCTATGGTAAGAGATTGTGAAAACAAAGATCAGATGCTCAACTGCACAGTTAGTCCAGGATTGGGTTATAAAAGTCCTTGGAGAAAGGGGCAAAATAGGGACCAAAACAATGGCTGGTGACCAAGCAAATTGTAACAAGTTGCACCTCTTCTTGTATTCCGTGTGGCATATCTCGAGTTATCTTGTGGGTTTTTTTCTCCTACTTCTAGAATTGGAAAGGATGAGACCACTCCAGGAGAGAAGTGAGAGCTCTTCAAGCAAAGAGCCTCTAGACAAGTGTCTTCGAGCGAAGAAGGACTTGGAGACTGCAATTGCTGAAATAGTCAAGGCTGAACAGCAGGTTAAAGACAACTGGAGAGAGGTATGAAGGACGCACTTCAGAACAGCAACAACCCTCTACATCTCACGGAGATGCTTTGCTATCTGTGCCTTATTGCAGAATCACCAGTGTTCGTACTTTATACATTCTGAATGCTTTATTGTATATAAATCTTTTCACACAGAATGCAGCCTATTTCAAGACAGTGTATTAATAACTCAGAATTTAAACTTTGATTAAGCTAATATTTAGGCCAATGTAACAAAGCTGTGTCACAAGAGATACCATATTTTGCTCAGGGTGTATCTATACTGTAGAATTAATGCAGGTTGAAATTATTTTAGCTGACCTGACTCAATCCTGTGATATCATGGGAGTTGTAGTCTGTTGAGGGACAATCTCTCTCACACGGAGGGCTGCAGACCTTGTAAAACTACAACTCCCTTGAATCCCTGGCATTGCATCAAGGCAGCTAATGTCGGGTCAAACTGTTAATTCTGCAGTGTAGGTGCAACTTAAGTCTCAATGATTAACTATCTGACACAAAATATTTTGGTTATAATAGCAGGAGATGTCTATTAAAGATACTGGGTGGAACATAAATAAATCCTGCTCTACTTGCATGCTGTGAGGTGGTTTGCATTTCATTTATATCACAGTTTTAGTTGGTGCAACCCACTTGTAATATGTAGCTTTTAGAGGCAAATCAACAGTAGTTATGTGTTACGTATTTAAACTTCTGTAGTTAATAATAATAATAATAAACTTTATCTATACCCCGCCACCATCTCCCCAACAGGGACTCGAGGCGGCTTACTTGAGGCCAAGCCCGGACAACATATTACAGCAAGATAAAACCAAAACATAAGCAACAGCATTAAAATTACATTAAAAAGATAAAAAAAACATGAATACGGTAACAAAATAACATTACAATAAACACAATCACAGTGACAGTGGGCAGGCCACATGTGCAGGATAAAATGTTAAAAAACTCAAATGAGATAAGAATAGGAGCAAGTTATTTGCAGGGAGCTCATAAAGAAACACAAAACTTATGAAACTAAATTTCCCATTTGGGGGGGGCGTGTACTCCAGTAGTTGTTGGGCTTGTATAGTCATATTGCCAATCCTGTGTTATTTAAATTCTGCCTTCAAGCAAATGGAGCACTTAGCTGTGCAGCACATGTGGTGTCACCAAGACTGTAAATACAAGATAAACTGTACACAGAAATTAGGAAAAAATTCTTGGAGCCCTTCAAAATGAGGGAATTGAAAATCTTTTTCTAGATTTTCTCCTTCTTAAATCATGTTGGCATGGTGAGGCACTGAGAATCCTAGAATGCCCCACTCCTGAATAAGCCATAAGAGGTTACATGCCAATTTAGAATTATTTGTCTTGGCTGAATGCTTCGTTGTGATGGGGTGCACCTTTCTCCTTGAAGATGCTTAATTACTTATTTCCTTCATATGAGATTTAGACATGAGTGACTTTATTAAGTTGCGATATCCTGTATATTATTTTTTTCTTGGTGGTTTCTATTTCCAATACAGGCATGACTTAGGTCAAAGTTACAGGGGAGCCAGTGGCTGAATCTAGCATTTATTTTGCAGGTAAAAGCCCAGATTCACAGCTGTATAAGCCGCCACCTGGAATGTTTGCGCAGCCGCGAAGTGTGGCTACTGGAACAGGTGGATCTCATCCAGCAGCTGAAGGAGGAAGCCTTGCAGCAGCAAGCACAGCAACTCTTTTGGGTAAATTGCCTCCTTCTTGCTAATTTAGAACCACAGTTTATATAGCCTTGACCTCGTGCAGCTTGTCCCTGGCAGATTTCCCTATCTAAGCCTTGCTCATGATGTTTTTACGGGAATCAAGTCATATTTTTCTCTCTTGAATTGCAGTTGTTAGGACAATTTAATTGCCTCATCCACCAGTTGGAGCAGCCTCACAGCAATGACCTTGCCAACCAGATTTCAGTGTGCTTGGAAAGGTAAGCAATTTTGTTGGAATCATGTAGCTCTTGAATTTGACATTGGGCTCAGAATTATTTTAGCCATAGTTCACCTAATTATGGGTTAAACACTGCATGCAATTTCTTTTCTTTTCTTTTCTTTTGCCCAAGAGATGTATTTGTTTTGCCTCATGCAAATACTGATACCTTAAAAATAGAGGCTGTACCGGAAAGCTGTTTACTGACAGTGTGGATAATGCATACATGTAGACCAGGGATCCACGGACTTTTTAAACAGAGGGCCAGGTCACAGTCCCTCAAACTGATGGAGAACCGGATTATAATGGGAAAAAATATGAATTCCTATGCACACTGCACATATTTTATTTGTAGTGCAAAAACACTTTAAAACAATATAATAATTAAAATGAAGAACAATTTTAATAAATATAAGCTTATTGGTATTTAAATGGGAAGTATGGGCCTGCCTTTGGCTGATGAGATAGGATCGTTGTTGTTGTTGTTGTTGTTGTTGTTGTGTGCTTTCAAGTCGTTTCAGACAGGTTGACCCTGAGCGAGGGCTGGGTAAATGACCTTGGAGGGCCGCATCCGGCCCCCCGGGCCTTAGTTTGAGGACCCCTGGTGTAGACCAATTGATTGCAATTGGGACAGAGATAAGACTGATTTAATTTTTAAGATCCTGAGAGGCATACTGTTTTTGTTTAGGTCAAAATGATTCACTGTTTTCAGGTCTTTGCATAAGGATTGGCTTAGTTCATACAAACAGTGCTTTTTAGCTTTAGTTATGGGCAGCAGGTTGAGCTGCTGAATTTGCTGACTGAAAGGTCGGCAGTTCAAATCCAGGAGCAGGGTGAGCTCCCACTGTTACCCCCAGCTTCTGCCATCCTAGCAGTTCGAAAACATGCAAATGTGAATAGATCAATAGGTACTGCCTTGGCGGGAAGGTAATGACGCTCTATGCAGTCATTCCGGCCACATGACCTTGAAGGTGTCTACGGACAACGACGGCTCTTCGGCTTAGAATTGGAGATGTGTGCCACCCCTCTGAGTCTGACACAACTGGACTTAATGTCAAGGGAAAACTTTACCTTATGGTCATTTTCTTGTCCTAATACTGAATTTGAATTGATCGCCCCTCTTTTCTGCCATTACAGATTAGGCAATTTAACTCTAAATCCAGAAGAAACTTCCATCCTAAATTTTGAAGCTGACGTGCCATTTCTTCGCCAGGCTATCACAACATTTGGTTCAATCACCACCATGGTGAGTACAAACACTTTTCTCAAGAACAGTAGAGCTTGTTACATATAACTACTATTGGAAAACTTCTTGCGGAAACATTTTGTTAACTTTCTGGGATTTTAAAAAAAAATATGACAATTGATATTTCTCCCTAAAGCAAAAACTGCTTTTGGAACTTGTCTTGATTTTTAAAAGCAGCTTGCAATATGGTGTGTAGGGAATGGTATAAAAAAATCTAAAAAGTCTCTTTAAGTTAACAGAACTATTTTCAAGGTTCTGGGTTCCAGTGAATTACTGGATACATTTCAAAACAAACACACACCTTATATTTTGTGTTGTTTGAGATTTTGGATTGTTTGTCTAAGGTTGCTAGCTTGAGATTCTGCATAGACATAGGAATCTTCTCAGTTATTTCTAAATATCAAAATGTGCAACTAATAATGCATTTAAAATAATTCTGTTCTAATTAAACAGCAAACCTCCGACAAAGAAGACAGTGCTCCTTGGATTTCTGTACAGAATTGTCCTGTAACAGCCAAACCTGAACAGGTACATATTTTACTAGTTCAAATACATTTGCATGATGGCAGAATATGTTTTGAGAACTTCTTATTTTAATAACACGATGAATTTTGATGAAAAATGAGACATGCTTAGTTTTTTTGTCCAGCTTCTCCCATTGGGTCTCTTTTGCTTGTAACATCATAAATGAAATGTATATACCATAAGTACTCAAGTATAAACCAAGTATAAATCAAGTATAAGCCGAGCCACCTTATTTTACCACAGAAAACTGGAAAAACGTATTGACTCGAGTACAAGCTGAGGGTGGGAAATGCAGCAACTACTGGTAAATTTCAAAATAAAAATAGATACCAATAAAATTAGATGAATTGAGGCATCAGGAGGTTCAGTGTTATTGAATATTTACATAAAACTGTAATTTAAGATAAGACTGTCCATCTCTGATTAAACCATTAGTCTAACCTTCTTCAATGTAAATGTGCTTACGTATCCTTCCAGTAATAATAGAGTAAAATAATAATGCAATAATGATAGAATAAAATAATGGAAATGTAATAATAACAGTAATAGTAGAATAAAATAATACATGCAATAATAATAATAGAGCAAAATAATGCATGTGCTACTAATAATAGAGTAAGTAATAATAGAATTAAATAATTTATTATTTTACAACAGTAAAATGATAAATTATTTTGACTTGGGTATAAGCCAAGGGGGCCTTTTCAGCCTAAAATAATACTAATACTACTACTACTAATAATAATTAATAACAACTTTATACCCTGCCACCATCTCCCCGAAGGGACTTGGGGCGGCTTACATATGAGGCCAAGCCTGTCAGATACAATACAACAGTACATCAACAACAAGCAAGCAAATAAAACAGTATAAATAATACAGTTGAACATATAAGCAATAACGCACAAAATATTTAAAAACATTATGTCAAGGCCAGATGTAGATTAAAATTTTAAAACCCTGGGAGTGTACAGAGTAGGGTATGTCTAGGCATGGGCTTTTTAAAGAGTGATATGGGGGGATCAATCCAACGGATAGATAAAGTGCTTCAGAGGACGTACAGAAGGAAATTGGTCAGATCAGGCATTCTTTCCTTCATTCAGGGAAGGCACACTGGAACAGCCACGTTTTCAAGCTCTTCCTAAAGACTGCTAAAGTGGGGGCTTGTCTGATATCTTTAGGTAGAAAAAGGGATGAAAAACTCTTTCTTATACTCAAGTATATACAGTATGTCTTGTAGCTAGGATCTAGACCAGTATTTCTCAACCTTCCTAATGCTGCGACCCCTTAATACAGTTCCTCATGTTGTGGTGACCCCCAACCATAAAATTATTTTTTGTTGCTACTCCATAACTGTAATTTTGCTCCTGTTATGAATCATAATGTAAATATCTTGACATGCAGGATGTATTGTCATTCATGAGATCAATTTGGGCACAAATACCAGATACGCCCAAATTTGAATACTAGTGGGGTTGAGGGGGGATTGATTTTGTCATTTGGGAGTGGTAGTTGCTGGGATTTATAGTTCACCTACAGTCAAATAGCATTTTGAACACCACCAACGATGGAATTGAATGGCACATAGAACTCCCATGACCAACAAAAAATATTGCAAGGTTTTGGTGGGCATTGACCTTGAGTTTTGGAGTTGTAGTTCACCTACATCCAGAGAGCACTGTGGACTCAAACAGTGATGGATCAGGACCAAACTTGGTACAGGTACTCAATATACCCAAATGTGAACACTGTTGGAGTTTGGGGAAAATGGACCTTGACATTTGGGAGTTGTACTTTCTGAGAGTTATAGTTCACCTACAATCAAAGTGTATTCTGAACCCCACCAACACTGGAAATGGGACAAACTTCCCACACAGAACTCCCATGACCAACAGAAAATACTGTGCCTTCTTATGGTCTTTGGTGACCCCTCTGACACCCTCTTGCGACCCCTCCAGGGGTCCCTACTCCCAGGTTGAGAAACGCTGATCTAGACCATTCAAGGGTCAAGATTTTTAAGCCTAACTGATAATGTGGACTGTTTGCACTTTTTCGATGTCTCTCATGAAGCCTGCAATCTTTCCTAGTTAAAGAAGGCTTCCCATTTTGCTATGGTAGTAAAGTAAAGGGGGATTATTTAGCTATCCACATTGGTTTTCCTTAAGAAAGAGAGAGAAAGCATAGCAGAGTCAGCACTTCTTTTGTTTGGTTTTATCTCTGAAATGGGGAGGGGGGGGGGAATGAACAGAGATGAAGTGTGATTACGGATGTGCATGTATGAAAGAGAGTATGTATTTTTTTATTAGGATCTTAAGCACATCATTTACTGTTACGTTTATTTAAATGTGTTAACACTAAGCATGGTATTTCCAGAAACCCTTGTCTGGTTCATTTGGTTGTCCACTCTCTGACTGGCTTCTTGGAAACAAACCTGCAGCGAGTGCCTCCTCTGCTCCATATGTTCCTAGCAACAACTACGAGGACTGGCTGTTGAAACCCTATGTGCCAGAGACCAGTCAGGTATAGTCTGCCTTTAATAAAAGTTTAAAGTTGGTGAAAATGTTTCCGAATTAGTGGGGTGGAAGGTTGTTATTGGTCCTTTATTATACAGAGGTGCAAAAGTTAATACTTTGATAACTTATTTCCTAAACAATGTTGATTTCATACAACTAATCTTTAAAGTGATTTTGTTTGTGTCTTAGGATTTCAAGTCCTCCAAAGTGTGTTACTTGGAGGAGGCATGGGGAAATCTGAAAAACCTGGAGAACTGGCTTTTGCAAACCCACCAGCAAGATGTTCCTGAATACATGGATTTCCGCCTGCGTAAATGTTCTACCTCTACTATTGGCTCCACCTTTTCTATTGAAAAAATAGATGAGCTGGAGATCCTGGAGCAAGAAGAGAGTGATCTTTCTGACTGGCTACTTACTCCTCCTGAACCAGAAAACAAGAATGCCCCAGCAGAGAAGTGGAAGCATGTGCTCAAGCCTTTTCGGGAAGAGTACAGTCTGAACGACTGGCTCTCCAAAGCGGATTCCTGCAGCAATTGTTGCGGCAACCAGGCCAAGGGCATGGAGATAGAAAACCTTGGCAATCTTAAGTGCCTTAGTGAGCACCTTGAGGGGAAGAAGTCAACCGCCAACGATGCCTGGCTTTTGCAGCCTTCATTTAAAGTAGAAGATGTATGTCGAGCGAATGAGTTGTGCTCCAGCTTTTCAGAGTGTGTGTGTGATGACAAGTGCGAGAAGGAAGCTCTCTGCAAGTGGCTCCTTAGGAAAGAAGGCAAGGATAAAAATGGCATGCCAATGGGACAGACACCCAGCCAAGTCACTGAGCCCGAGATAGTGAAACCTGCAGGGGACAACGCCTGGCTCCATTTGTCTCAGCAGTCAGTGGAGGAAGCAACTTTCCTTGAAGCACAACAACAACAGAACTGTGCCATTCTAGAACCATTGAAAGAATTGCTCAAAACCCCTTTGTCGTCCTGGTTGGCCAGATCAGAAATCATAGCGCCGAGCACAGAAGAGAAGGCGAGCAGAGAGAAAGCGGAAATGAGCTGTAAGAGTTCCCTTCTGGAATTCCTGGAACCATTCCACCTCCCTTTCAATGCAAACAGCTGGGTGTTGTCTTCCAAGAGCACAGAAACTTCCAACCAGCCTCCCCTAGAAGACAAATGGTTGCTACGCAAAAAGGCACACGTATGTATAACCTCTAATCTTTGATTGACAAGGTGTTGATGATGATAGATAGCATTACATTATGTTTAATAGTATTTATATATTTTTTTGGGAAAAATAGACATTGTGACCAATATTTTTTTATATGGCGGATGTGTAATGTATTTATTAGGATTGTTATGAAAATTGGAAATGGCTGTATGACTTGTGATTATGTGATTTGTTCTATATGACTATGTAATTGGTGGCGCAGTGGGTTAAAGCCCTGTGCCGGCAGGACTGAAGACCGACAGGTCGCAGGTTCGAATCCGGGGAGAGGCGGATGAGCTCCCTCTATCAGCTCCAGCTCCTCATGCGGGGACATGAGAGAAGCCTCCCACAAGGATGATAAAAATATCAAATCATCCAGGCATCCCCTGGGCAACGTCCTTGTAGACGGCCAATTCTCTCACACCAAGAGTCACTCCTGACATGACAAAAAAAACTCAAAAAACTATGTAATTTTAATTAATATCGCTGTTTAATTGTTGTGTAATAGGATTTTATATTGTTGGTTTATATTGTTGTTATTGATACTGTTGAATTGTTGCCTGTGTTAGCCGCCCTGTGTCCTCCCTCGGGGGTGAGAAGGGGGGGGGGCAGAAATGGTGTAAATAAATAAATAAATAAATAAATAAGTAATACAGGTAAGACTGTGGGGAAAATCCATCTAATGGTGGAAATCCATTTCTTTTCAGGACTGTGGTCTTCCTACCGTATGTGATCTATTCACCTGTATGAAGTTAAATGGAGATAGAGAAAAGTGGCTATATCGGACTCCCTTGCAGGTAAGTATTTTCCTCTTTTATATTGAGCCAAGTTCCATTTAGTCAGCTATAAGGTTGCAAACTGAAAGATCTTAAAGGAGAATTTATACCTCCCCCACCTTGTATTGCTGTTGTCAAATACAAGTTGGACTACCACTGTTGATCTTTGCTTTTGTAATCAAATCTAGTAAGAAATGGAGATAATAATAGTAATAGTAATAATAATAATAATAATAATAATAAATAATAATAATAATAAAAACACTCTGGGCTTCTTAACACTTACCTCTCTATCACCAGTTGAACTATGCCTATCAACCTTCACTCTGATCTAGACCTTTCAGAATACATTTCCAAGGAAGAATATCTTGCCCATTAGATAAGCATCCTCTATTAACTTTATTAAATGTGTTTGGAGGAAATGGGAGATGACTACGTGCACATCAGATTTTAAAAAGTAGGGGTGAGGCTTTTAGACTTATGTGCCTTTGGATCTTTGTGACAAAAAGCTGAATATAGGTGGTTCCTAGGTTAAGAGCAAGATAGGTTGTGTAAGGTTGTTCTTAAGTTTAATTTTTATGGAAATCAGAACATGTTCATTTTTTAAGTGGAAGTCCAGCTAATTTTCTTTTAATTCTGAGTAACATAGGGAAGAGTTAACACCTCTGTAATGTTTGTTTTGTTGTCTGTGCCCCTGTTCAAAAGATTTCGCCTCACTTTCTGTCCAGAAAATGAAGTCTTCTCAACAGGGGCACAGACAGCAAAACAACTGTTTTGAAAAATGAATGTCAAGGACACAAGGATGAGTGAAAGCCTCAGTGGAGATGCCGTTCCTCCATGATAATGCTTCCAGTAGTTAATTTCCCTTCATAGGGGTAGATTTCGTCTCACATCCTGTTGTCTCGCAGTCAGGAAGTGAGATCAAATCTATCTAATGAGAATACAGAGAGCAGTAAAAATTTCACAGTGGCCCTATCCCCACGCCATACTAACCAAAACTAAAATAAAATTTCAATTGAGTTCTACTTTAAATGCAACTTGGACAGATGTCTGTGTTGTTTTTACCTGTGCACATAAAGGTAAAAGTAAAGGTTTACCCTGACATTAAGTCTATTCGTGTCTGACTCTGCGGGCTTGTGCTCATCTCCATCTGGCATTGTCCATAGACAAGGTCTTTTGGCCAGACTGCATGAAGCACCGTTACCTTCCCGCAGAAGTGGTATCTATTGATCTACTCACATTTGCATGTTTTCAAACTGGTAGATTGGCAGAAGCGGGAGCTCACCCCGCTCCCTGGATTCAATCTGCCAACCTTTCAGTCAGCAAGTTCAGCAGCTCAGCAATTTAATCTGCTGTGCCACCATAAACACAAAATTTCCAAATACTGCCAAAGGCCCAGCACACACTGTTGGTTGGTGTGCTTACCCCAAGGCCCACCCAGCACTACCCCCACCACATTTATAACTAGGAGTTAGACCTAAGTTGGATTTTTATAACTCTGAGATTACCTGCATCAGGAGTGTGAACTTTTTTGGTTATGCTCTTGTAGCCCTCTCCAATGCACAGCAGAGGTTGTAATAAAATGTATCCTAATTTAAATGAAGTCAGTGCATATTGTCTTTTTAGAATGTCGCCCACATAGCTGCATATTCTGAATAATTCCAGTATATTCCTATAGTTGAATCTAGACAGTTTTCAAAGACTCCTCCTTTTTAACTTTGTAATTCTGAAATTCCTTTTCTAGTTGTGAAAAGTCCGAACCATCTGAACAAACATCACCTTCCTGCTGACCATCGCACATTTCTTCTGAGTGATTTCAGTGTACTTCATTTCTAGTTTGTGTCTGACATATGCCTCTTCCAGACTTGGATGTTAACTTACATGTAGTTGACTGACGGCTGCAAAGTTGACTTGCACACATGGAAGCAACAGTTCCCTTGTATGTATCCCATGGAGGGCTATGGTGTGAAGATCTTTCCCTGAAGTCCTTGCAATTGTGGAGACCAAAGCTTGGAGTCATTTTCCTGACACGTAGACCAGGCTGAAAGCCTCAAAGGACTACGGGGAGGGAAGCCAGTGTGGCAGCCGTTTTAGTGAAGATCTGCTCTCTTCTCTCCAGCAGCTTCTGGTTGTTAATATATTACAGTGGCACTTAAGACCATGTTTAATCATACAGATTTTATGCAAACTAGGTGCTCCAGAACTGTGTACAGTGCAGTTAGTGGCTAAAGGCTGTAATTTTTTTTTTTTGGGGGGGGGGGGGGGGGGGGGGGTCATATGCCAAATTGATCACTTGAAGGCTGCCAGTAACTGATGTCATCTTGTATGAGATAAATGAGAGAAGTGGGCTTAAATTCACCAGAGTGGATGAACATTGGTTTAAAGTACACATTGCCAAGTGCAGTGTTTTTAATGAATAGTAACATTTACCTTCTATTTCTTTTTACTTTCTAAGAATTATAGTAACTTTGTCATGTTTAGATTAAGTAGCTTTAAGCATTCAGCATAAAGCAGATGTGGCTTTAATGCTGAGTCTTAATACCACTTGTCCCAGTACTATATGGTACAGGGACATTCCTGATAAGCTCTGATCTTTTGTAAAAAAAAATCTTGTTTGAAAGTGCTCTTTCCCTAGTACAAATACACTTTGATCTACAAGTTACACAAACATAGGCCTTCAGCAGCAAAAGGGTGTTGTCACTGTCCATCTGTCCTCCATGAATGCATTCCTAATTGGAGAAATCGTTTTGAGCCATTTATTGAGATATTAAGCTTTGAATGATTAACATATGGTTCAATTATTAAAGAATATCAAGGTGCATGTTGCTTCCCAAAATCTAACTGATGGTGGTAAAGCAAACCCTTGCTGTTTGTCATTAATCCATATTTGTTGGTGCAGATTGAATCTCTCAATTAAACCATTGCTGTGAACAAAAGACTCATTTTTGTATTGACCAGAAAGATCAGCAGTCAGCTGTGAAAGACGACCCTTTTTGTTACCTGAGTGATACTCTCTAACACAGTGCTTCTCAACCTGGGGGTTGGGACCCCTGAGGGGGTGCCAGAGGGGTCGCCAAAGACCATCAGAAAACACAGTATTTTCTGTTAGTCATGGGGGTTCTGTGTAAAAAATTTGGCCCAATTCTATCATTGGTGGGGTTCAGAATGCTCTTTGATTGTAGGTGAACTATAAATCCCAGCAACTACAATTCCCAAAAGTTAAGGTCTGTTTTCCCCATTTGGGCATATGGAGTATTCTTGCCAATTTTGGTCCAGATCCATCATTGTTTGAGTCCACAGCTCTCTAGATGTAGTTGAATTACGTCTCCAAAACTCAAGGTCCACCAAACATTTCCAGTATTTTCTGTTGGTCATGGGATTTCTTTGTGCCAAGTTTGGTTCAATTCCATCGTTGGTGGAGTTCAGAATGTTCTTTGATTGTAGGTTGACTATAAATCCCAGCAACTACAACTCCTAAATGACAAAATCAATCCACCAATAGTATTCAAATTGGGACGTATCGGATATTTGTGCCAAATTTGATCCAGTGAATGAAAATACATCCTGCATATCAGATACTTACATTGCGATTCATAACATTAGCAAAATGACAGTTATGAAGTAGCAACGAAAATAATTTTATGGTTGGGGGTCACCACAACATGAAACTGTATTAAGGGGTCGCGGCATTCGGAAGGTTGAGAACCACTGCTCTAACATGTACAAGTTTTTTTTAAGTGAACAATTATCCTCCCTAATATTTTGGCCTGCAACCACTGTCTGCATTAACCCAGCAAGGGCAGTAATGAAGGCTGATGGGAATCACAATCCACCGAAATGGGGAGGCTGATTACTTTTCAGTTTTACACAAACTGTGTGCTGTTATGTTTTGGTGAAAAGGTACTATAAATCAATTGGTAATAATTTACACCATGTATAACATGGAGTGTCACTATATATTAAGAAGTGCAACTCTGACATGAAAGGCACTGTAGACTACTTCGACCAGAGAAGTCAGCCATAGCAGAGCACCTGATGAACCAACCTGGACACAGCATATTATTTGAGAACACAGAAATGCTGGACCACTCTTAACAACCACCATGTCAGACTACACAGAGAAGCCATTGAAATCCACAAGCATGTGGACAATTTCAACAGAAAGGAGGAAACCATGAAAACGAACAAAATCTGGCTACCATTATTAAAAAAAACCCTCTAAAATGACAACAGCAAAACAACAGAGGAAACAATCAGGGACATCTAATCACCTCTCAACAAAAGATTGCCCTTGGCATTGCCAGGCCATCAAAAGCTAATCCAGGTGATCAGTTGAAACATTCACACCTAGCTCCAACAGACAAGAGTTCTTTGTCCCACCTTGGTTATTCAACAGATATATAAACCCATTTTCCTAGTTCCAGCAGACCTCACTACCTCTGAGGATGCTTGCCATAGATGCAGGCGAAATGTCAGGAGAAAATGCCACTAGAATGTGGCCATATAGCCCGAAAAAACCTACAACAAATGAGTGATTCCGGCCATGAAAGCCTTCAACAATACATTTATGTAAAGTGCTGGAACAGAACTGAACTTAGTCCTATGACACATTTCATAGGACTAAGTTCAGCTGAATGTAATGCTGACCAAATCTGAATCAAATTCTTGCTGAGTACTCTGCTCTACTTATAAACCATTAACCTGGTTTTGGCTTGTATTTACTTTCAGAAATCCTTGTCCTAATAATGGCAGCGATAAATAGGCTGCATTGAACAATTTGACCTTATTTTTAGACGTTTACTTGCAAAATACAGAAAAAAAGTATTAGGTAGAAATCAAGTCTCTTTAAGAAGCTTTCATTATTAACTAGACAGATATTTCAAGCTGGGGGTGGCAGCTGGAAGCCAAATTGTACTGGTGGATCCGTTCCTCATAATGCTCCAATTCAGCAGAAACCAGCATTTTCAACCACAAGTAGGAGCTCCTGGTTGTGCAGTGGGTTAAACCCCTGTGCCAGTAGGACTGAAACCCGACAGGTCACAGGTTCGAATCTGGGGAGAGCGTGGATGAGCTCCCTCTATCAGCTCCAGCTCCCCATGCGGGAACATGATAAAACATCAAAACATCCGGCCGTCTCCTGGGCAAAGTTAAAGACATGGCGTTGCAGGCAAGCGTTTGAAGAATAAGTGACTATGGATTCCGACACGGTTTGAATATGGATTGTGAACAAGGCTCTTGGACAAATGGAACTATTCATTGCATATGTTTTAATCTGTTTACTGAGCCACGGAGGCACAATGGTTAAACCAATGGTTCTCAACCTGGGGTCCCCAGATGGTTTTGGCCTACAACTCCCAGAAATCCCAGCCAGTTTACCAGCTGTTAGGATTACTGGGAGTTGAAGGCCAAAAACATCTGGGGACCACTGGGTTAAACCCTTATTCTGGCAGGACTGAAGACCGACAGGTCGGAGGTTCGAATCCAGGAAGAGCATGGATGAGCTCCCTCTGTAAGCTCCAGCTCGCCATGCGAGAACATGAGAGAAGCCTCTCACAAGGATGGTAAAACATCTGGGTGTCCCTTGGGCAACGTCCTTGCAGACGGCCAATTCTCTCATACCAGAAGCAACTTGCAGTTTCTCAAGTTGCTCCTGACACGACCAAAGAACCCCCCAAAACACAAGTATATTGTCACGACCAATTTACTGGCTAAGTAAAGGGGAGGGGACCACCAAAGTCAGTCTCTTGGGTGGTCAAAATCTTTCAACTCACTGGAGATCCCAGAAGAGAAGGTGTACTGTGGACAGTGCTTTCACTTGTTAAAACTGCAAGGGAAGCAAGATGCACAAAGAGGAAACGAGTGCTTCTTTCTGCAAAATACAAAGTGTGCACAGTTCCTACTGCCAACTTCTTCATCTCTCCACTCTTGAAGAAAAGTTATGTGCAAAAGACAGATAAGTGTACTGAGAAAAATTGTGTTTATTCCATACAAATCTGGATCTACAGCTTCCATAGTTCCAGCAAGTTTCTAGCTACTGTACATGAACTGGCTCACCAATGCATAGGTTCTGCTAATAAGTTATCACTATAGTTCTGGCATTTCCTCATGGGTACATGGAAACATAGCTGGTGAAGCTTGCAGTCTATGAAGGCATTAATATGTTCACTTCTGAGATGCGGTACAACCTGTTGCTGCAGCTTCACTTACCCGCACCTGACAAAGTAAGCCCGGTCAGGGAATGTTCTAGTCCATTCTATGGCATGCTACTGCCAGTCGGTATACCTTGGAGAACCTAGCAAATTCTTCTCTAGGAATTTTCAAAATCCTTCAACACCACTCTCTGGTAACTTCCACTGCGAGTTACTTCAATATAGTTTCATATTGTCCATGGTGTCCTGTTTCCATAGGAAGTTCAGGAACTCCCTGTGCATGCTAGAAGTGATAATATGCCACACAACTAATGTTTTAAAGGAAATGTCTGATCAATTCTTGCATATTTTCAGGTGCGTGTTTCATCATATGTATTGTGCTGGAACTGTGCTTTTATAAACTACCCGTTAGCTATTACTAAACAAGGGTTATGTGTTTGAAGAGGAAAAGGTTAGCATAGGTACACAAACTTTATTAGATTTAAGTCAAGCAATGGCATTGGTACACAAACCTGATTATACAGGACAGATGTTTACATGACCCAAGGTAAAGTACAACAATTTCTGGCCAGAGCAATAGTGGACATGCTGTAGAGCCAAGATCTTCACCCTCACTGGTAATACAGCACGCATCACCAACTGCCAACGGAGAGGATCCAAAAGTCTTGATAACTATGTGATCGCAATAAGATTCTGCAGTCTATTTGGTTTTGTTTTATTCCGTGCTGTACTGAAAGGGTTCAAGTCTTATTGCACTACATGAGTGGTTATGCAGTTCTGCTCAAAGTGACTGCCTATGCACTGAGCCCCGCATATGCTCCCAGTTGTTATAGAGAGCATAGAGGCTGGTGAGAATCAGTCCTGTCATGCCACCTCTTGCTATCCCACGTAGTCCACCTGTGGGAGAATAAAACAACAGTAAGAAAGCATCAGGAAACAAACTCTTGTCAGAGATTTTGTCACATGGACTCTGCAGAACTGGCCTTTGTAAATAAGATCTGCAGAAGGAAAGTCTGCAAATTACCATCAACACTGCTTGACTAAAACAGTGGTATTAATTTCAACAGAAACAGATTGATAACCAACAAGTTAAAACTGGTTTATATGATATGCCCCCTTTTAGGTAACAGACCAGACTTTAAAAGTGTAACTCTGAGACCTGATTACTTTTTGAGTGCTCATAATGCTTTGCAAACATCCATCATCTCAGTCCAGAGTTACATACAGGAAACCTCTTCAATAACATTTAACTTATGAGTCTCTTTCCAGCATAAGATACAAAACATAGACTTATTGGTTAATGTCAACTTTCATGCAATCTTGCTTATTCCCAATTAAAAAGGTAAAAGACAACAATTTTCATGGGATTCACATAAAGTCCAGACAAAATGGGGGTGGGGTTTGAGAATCCAACTTTTATATAAACCTGGAATTTGTTAGAATCCTCCCAAATGAGCATATAAGATGTAAAAAATATATGGCACAACATGTGACACTGCAGAAGTCCAGCCCTTTTAACAATTATTTTCAAGCAGGGTGAACCGGCAACCATAGAGTCTCAAATGAATTTTAAAGTTGTACATGTGTTTGTCCAGCTGGGTTAAATAATGATCTAAATGTAAACATTCAAATATACCTGGCAGAGAAAAAGGAAAGAAAAATGACTAATTGAGAAAGGTATCTCTCACTTGTGTTATAAATTGTCCAACATCCAATAACTCCTTTTGCAGCACAGAATAATGTTTGCCCAATACCCCCAATTAGGAAAGATCCCAAAGAAGGAATTAAACATTAATGTACAACCATGTTTCTTATATGAAACTAGGTGTTCACTTGGTGGCATATGCCTTTGGTGCTTGAATTATTTACATTATGAAGATTTAAGAGCAAGTACTTTTGACTGGCAAAGTAAAACTAAATTTGATTGGCAAAACAAGACTTAACATTTCATGAGTGCCTAATTTGACAGTGCAGAAGTAATCTCCTGCTTCTTCAGGCTCTGCATACTAACTGATAGGCTCCACTATTTCTCCACCCCAGCAATCATAACTCTGCTAGCTTGAGATAGCCTGACTTCAGGAGGTCTCTGAAACAAGCATCTGCTATTATCTCTCTTTTACACATACACCTTCATGCATCATTCCATTTCATTTCCATTTCTTTTAAATGGAAATGAAAGAAGTCTCTATTTTAGAAAAAGTCTTATATGGCAGGCTGTAATATTTGAAAAGAGACCTTTACAGAACTTGCTAACTACAAGCTGTCAAGGGCTATCGAATATCCAGTTCTAATCTTGCAGTGATACCCTCCACTTGGGTCTAGAATAGAAATGCTTCCCAAAACTAAGAAACAGAGTGAAAGCCTTGTGTCATAATGTTACTTTTTGGTGTACCATCAGTGCTAAGAGGTGATTTACTGGGAACTACAGCTTGTATAGGAGTGTTCCTACTGCAACTAATTTCATATTTCTGTAAAAGTACTGAGCGAACGGACCAATGAAGCCCAGGCATTATAAATACTAAGCACTTCAGCCTCACTGACCATTACAGTATCAATCAGAAGTGGTAACGTATTTACAGTTTTAAAATCTAAAATTTATCAAGATGCTAGACAGGACCTTCTCGGTGCCCCCCCCCCCCCCCCCGCTTGTGGAATTCACTTCCCGGTGAAATTAGGTCATCATCATCCTTCCTCACCTTTAGAAAGAAGGTAAAAACGTGGATGTGGGACCAGGCCTTCGGGCAATTAGGTTAAAGGACAATTGATGTTTGACTATGGCTTGGAAGTGGATTTGGATAAGTTAAGCGGAGTACTCAATAGTATATGGCTAGATAAAAAGCCACCAGACTGGTAATAGCTCAATGGACTGCAAGTATACTGTTTTAATCTTTATGTCTTAATGTTTATGCTTTTAACTGTTATAATTGCTGTTTTATATTTATGATGCAGCATCAAGTTGTTGCCAATTGGAAGCTGCCCTGAGTCCTCCTAGGGGTTGAGAAGGGCGGGGTAAAAATGTTTGAAATAAAACCTCAGTACATATTGAACTGACGAACATGTAGAAGCATTCACTATCTCTCTTGCCTCCCTCATTTCGAGAAAACATGAAACTAGACTTTAACTTCTTCGGACTCTAGCCGTGCGCCATATCCTCCCTCTAAAGACCCACATCGCTACAGAACTCACCAGAACCCTATAATGAAGTCTCTTTCCAGGATCTCTTGGGGGAGTGGGGGAGATGTAATTTGTCAAGAAAACACTAAAAACGTTCACAGAATAGACATTCCCATCTGGTTCCTTCTCAAAGCTTAGCTCAATAACAGCAAGTAGGGTTTCTACTGTCAAAGTCTCAGCTTTAAAGATTGGATGTTATTGTATTCTGAACTTAGAAGAATCCACCGATGTCAAGGAGCTTGGGATACTTTACCCTCAAAGGCACAATCAGTACAACCAAAGATTTTTGTTTGTTCATAACTTTTGATGAAGACCAAGATTATGCCTCAGATTAGCTACAATGGTGATGCTGCCTCTCAAAAACATACATCTTAAGCCAGCCAATTCCCCAACTGAGGGATCTTCTAAGGCACTCAGATATGGCCATTGGAAAATAGCAGCATTACTCACTTGGTTGGAAGGTGCATGTAAGCTCCTGCTGCAACTGCATGTACCCTCAAACTTCAGCCCTCCAGCTGTTTGGGCCTCCAACTCCCAAAAGCCCTAGCCAGTTTGCCCAGTGGCCAGGAATTCTGGGAGTTGGGGGCCCAAACAGCTGGAGAGCTGCAGTTTGGGGATGCCTGTCTCAGTGCATCCTGCTATTGAAAGTGCTGCGGTTGTCATTTTCCAGTCCCTGAGCTACAGTGCATTTAGCTGGGGAACTGCCTGGTTTACAAGGTTTTGGGGGAAGGGTTATATTTGGTTGTTAATTACCACAAATGTGAATCTCAAAAATTACGAGATTGTAAATCCATTTTATAATCTTGTAAATACTCAACGCAATGCCACCCTGTATTCAGAGACAGAATTCTGTTTCACAGGACTCACGTGTATACAACATCTTTGGATCCTGGTAAACTGGCTGGGATTTCTGGGAGTTGTAGGCCAAAAATATCTGGGGACCAAAGGTTGAGAACCACTGCTGTAGAGCCTTGTAAGTTATCTTAAGCTCTGCAAGCTACCTGTGTCACACTAACTGTATGAAGAGCATGCAGTTCAGGAATACCAATTAAAAAGCACGTAATAAACCAAGGGCTGAAAGTTATCACTAAAAGTTTAATTTTTTTTCATGTAGTCATCGTCCTAGAGCCTTTGTGGGCTGTGAGGTCATGAACACATAAATAAATACTTTAAATAAATAGAACTTTAAATAGATACTTTGTTATTAGAAAGGTATATATTACATTGGGTAAACCATTCTTGAATGTTTAATACACTATGGGTTTTTTTTCCAAAAAGGAACTTGAGCTTCAACATAACAGCTGAAACCTCTTAAATCTCTATAATGTTAACACTGGTAATGCTGATGAAGCAATGGGCACAAAATGCAGCCATGGCTAACTTTTACATGAAGTGAAACCAATATCTCAGCATTTTTCGCAAAAGCAGGAACTTAAACCAAATGTTTTCCAGAACATATGTATCCTTAACTTTAATTTGTTTCCACATACTAGGGCAGAGTGCAGGAAAGCATGGCATTCTGACAGCTATAGCAATGCAACTCTCTTTAGCCCTATCACAGCTAACAGTGAGGAATACTGGGACATACAATCCAACATTTGGAAGGCCGACTGTAAAAGACAACGAACAAATGACATATATATATAAAACCAGGGCGATGAGATTAGGATAGTGGTGGTGCGTGTTACTGAGGCTTGACTTTTATAATATTTTTACTTGAGACACTTCTTTTTAAAAGGAGTAACTCAAACCAGAACCCTTTCTTCCAATTTCTTCTCAATAAATGGACATGAGTCTTAATTATAAAGAACTGATCAAGGGAATATTTATTCAAGGATTCACAGGTGTACAAGGTTTGGTGGTTATTTTGTATTCCTTTAAATGTTGTTACAGTTGACTTTATTTAACACAAATACTAGTAACAGTTTTCAATATAACTCTCAGTATGGCTTTTACTTCCACCAGACTGGTTTTGAACTTATTTCACTGCAAAGTATCTTTCTTTTCTTAACTGACAATTCAAGGCACTGATTTGCCTTGATCTCCCCCCTTCAGCTATCCCCACTGAAGTTATAGATGCTGGGTTTTCTTTTTCCCTTAGCTCATGAGCTAATTGCTAATTTAAACAGGTCCAATTGACTCTCTACACACAGAGGCTGAAGACTTAAATCCCTTGGTTCAGTTTCCCAACACACCAGAACCAACTTCCCTCTTTGGCTTCCTCACCAAAGACCGACTCCCTCTCTCCACCAGTGGCAGTTAGCTCCACCCACTTTGACTTCTGGCTCTTCTAACTTGGTTACATTCCTACAACAGGCTCCGTCACTATGGCAACCACAGCAAATGTTGGCCTGCCCCTATCATATCACAACATCAATAAACACATTTAAATCATACATTATAATTCACTATTTTGTTACACTGACCAATGCCTGTATAACAATAATATTTCAAGTACTGGTATGTAGCTAGGATAAGAATTGCTATCCGTGCTGCAGTGATTGTTGTCACTGTGTGGGCAAATATGTCAATTAAAATGAATAATAGAAGTGCTGAAAGTCAACTAATTCTTAAACAAGTAGAACAAATAGCTTTATTGCTCTTGATAATGTCTAACTAGAGGAGGGGAATGATGTATTAGGTATGTATCAACAAACACTTCTGGCTGTACAAGACAGAATTACAAGGGTGGAATTGATGGACTCCTTTCCTACTAATCTCAGACTATTAAAATACGCATACAAAAAAAAAAGCTCCCCCAGATTTTTCTGCTTTTTAATACTTTCATCTGAATACTGCCACACACCAAATTCTTCTAGAGTCAACTCTTCACTTTTGCTGGAGTTAAAGACACAGGACCCTTGTGAAAGCAAAAAACCATGAACAGAGATTTTTTTTAACCTGAGAAGACACCTCTCTAGGAATTTCTAGGTTTTCTAGCATGACTCTATGTATGGTGGTGAACTGAAAATCGAAAAAATACTATCTTAATTGCCAATGCATGTATAAATCTAGACTGTAATACACACTGTAAATGTTATAATCCGCTGTTGCTACTCAATACTACTATTACAGTAGTCAACTGACATGCAAGTACACAATATGGTGATTAATAATAATAAAAAAGATTGTATGTAACCAGCACTTCTCACCAGGTCCCAAATAAAAAATTAGATTCAAAATAAAAATTTAGTATCGACCATTTTGGAAACATACCTGTACTTTTATATAGCATCCCTGTCATGGTCCCAGCAGCAACTGTATTGAGATCATCTTCTGCGCCTCGTGTTTTTTCAATAATAACTCCAAAAGCGCTATATAGGAGTGCTAGAATACAATTCAAGCTATCAGTTAACACAACAAAACACCAAAGGAACAAACAACAACGCCCCCTAAACCCACCCAAATGCCCTGGAACTAAATGAATAAACCCACTAAGATTTCAATCTCACATTCTTTTTAAAATTAGAACAGACCTGCAAAAAAGCTACTCATTTCAATGCATAGAGAGAATTAGAATTTCCTTCAGATGATCAAAGTACAGGGTACAGGGTGAGGCAACATAACTTCCTTTTTTTAAAATGTGTGCCATTCAGTCACCATTTGAAGATGTAGCGGAGCGCTAGTGGTCTCGTTCGAGAGGCAGGAGCATAAAGTTTTGTCCTGACACAGTTCAGTCGCCATCATGCGTTGGAACAGTGAGAAGCGTGCTTTTGCCATTGAGGCCTATTTTTCGAGCGGATTTGGAGTGGCCGGCCCGCTCTTCAGATTTGGCCCCTTGTGATTTTTTTATGTGAACCCTACAAGATTTGAAGACCAACATCCAGGAAGAAATTGCCAACCTAACGCCTGCTATGCTGGCAAGAATCATGACAAACACCAGAAATCGGTTTACTCAGTGTATGGAGAATGGGGGACAGCACCGACCTAATTTGATCTTCAAAACTACGTAAAACAAAACTTTAGGTATGCACCATATATATATATATAAATTCCGATTCATACAATGGGTTTTATTAAGTTTTGAAAAAAGGAAGTTATGCTGCCTCACCCTGTACAATAGACAATACTTTGTTTTTGATAGATCATAAATGCCAGGCACATCTGGTGTCAGGCTGGAAGGTTTCACTGAATTGTTATACAGATCTGATGGCTGTTCAGCAATTTATTTGGGGCTCTCCAGTTTAGGCTGTAAGGAGTCTTACTATTCTTACCTTAATCAGCCACACTGTCCCTGTGCTTAATAGCCAAAGAAGCAAATGTGCAGCTGATTAAAATGGATATGGAAATTCTTCAGGATCAACCCAAATTCACTATAAACCCTATTTGTGCAGTAGGGCTATAGTACTACACAGGTATTACTTGGATACTCAGAATTGGGACACTCAAAATAAAAAAAATTCTGACACAGTTTCAAAGAGTGTCCCACATAAGGCACATAGCAACAAAACTGCAAAGTCACTGACTTAAACATCCTATAAACCTTCACTGGTCTCAAACTACACACTAATAATATTTCACCTCTATTAGCGACCAAAACCCCTCAGGTTTCTATATGACCTTCTTTCCTAAAAAGATACTCTTCACAGAACTGAGTCCAAATCTGTAGTATTTGTAGATTTGACACACACACAAAAGGTCAGAGTAGAGGGCCAGGAAACACAAAGAACTATTACTCAAGAAAACAAACACAGCTGTGAAGCTCCTGTTAATGTTTCACTTGCAATGCTGGAATCTTGAACCTCATTACCTTTGACTCCAAGTAGCAATTTTCCATTGGTACAATCAAAGACTTCTTTGCTGACAGGGGAAAATCTTTGTCTTCAACAACAAAGAGCAGTTTCTCAGTCCTTCAGATTTCAAGCAACCCTTATTATCAGACTGAGAAGTCATCTTGCCCTCCCTAATGCTATGAAATGGAGCCCGGAACTGAAGCATGGACTTCTTCCCTCATCTTTTTTTTAAGCAAACAAACCTTCACATTTAATGATTAAACACTCATTTGGATTTAATTTACATGGGATTACTTACCTAAAGACCCAAGGGTGTTAGCCCACGATGCCCCTTGTCTTGTCACCATATTTAAAATCCTATAAGAAAGTAATGAGAAAGAGTGTTACTTTATACTGTAGTATAATATAAAAAAAACTAAAAGCCTTCGACAATAAAAAATAAGCTTGTGGATTCTATTTTGTTTTTTACTGGATCCTTGAGATGCAGCAATCACAGTCCAGTTCAAGAGATATACCATTTGAAGATTTCAGATTCCAGGAATTCCTTTTGAGAATGAGACTGAACTGCCCTCAAATTCTGAAACACAAAAACTCACTAGAGTTTAACCCATACCCCAGGTGTATTCATATCACCAACACATGGTAAGGCAAATGTCATTTTGTTTAACTCAACAGGAATCATAACCCTCACCATTGTACTGTAAACCCTCCACAGTTGAGGAGATTTCAATCTACGGTACTTTCTGTTCACTCTGGCACAGACAAGTGAGCATTTTTTTTTTGATTTACACATTTCTTCCTGTGTGTTCGGTAATGCAGGTGAGGGAATCTCCACCCCACGCGCCTGATCTAAATTCCTCCAGTTGGGAAAATTGTATCCCAAGTTGTCTGTCTGCCAAGTGGGATGGTAAGCGGCAAGTGGCAATTCCACAACAAAGGTTAAAAAGACAGGTCAAGATAACTGTTACTTCCAATCTCATGTTTGAGATAGCAGGGTATGGATCCCTGGAAACTCCCTCTTAATGAAGAAGAAATGGACACTATGGTTGGATGTGATTGCATCAGCGGATTGTATTATCACAATACTGCCTTCTTCCCTACATGAACTCATTTGCCAATTTGACCCACCCCCATTAATAGAAAGAACAGTGATTAATTACAATCTATAAAGACAACCCCAAAACACGTTTTTTAATTTTTACTATGCAGGTTTTACTACTAAAAGTTTATGTATGGCAGCTGGTGCCATCTCACCAAAAATATTTGCAGAACTTTGAGAATGTTTTCACTTTTCATTTTCACTTTTAAGGGAAGCAGATGATACATAATGTAAACTGCAAACTCATTGCCTTATCAAAGAAAGAAATAAGATGTAATTATGTGTAATGTATGTGTATGCTCTCAGACTAGTACTGGGAAGGAGTTTATCTGCCCAGCACACTCTCAGAAAAGCACAGTACTGCACCACACTGGTGTCAGCTGCCTCCAGAACAGAGACAATGACAGACAGTTAAAATAGCCAGTAACTTTTATCTTCCAGCAGTGTAACACTGTCACAGACATGGAATAGTCACAAACAGCTGACTACTGCTGGAACTTAGAAAGAAAAAAAAGTGATTAGATCCTTTTGGGATATACAAAGTATCATTCATAGAAGATTTTACCCTGCATTCAAAAAAATGATTAAAAGGGGAACATCCCTGACTTCTGTGGAACAGGTTTTCAAGAGGTACAAAGGGCTAGAAGATAAGTCAGCAGAAGCCATCTTCTTCTTGTACTTTTGAGGTTGAGAACCACTGCTCTAAATCTAAGCCACCATGTCCCAGAAGAGAAAACCAATAACAAAAGGGTGCAAGTTCCAACTTAAAACTCTGGATTGTTTGTATAGGGAGATAAAATCTTTCAGATCAGTGGTTCTCAACCTGGGGTCCCAGATGTTTTTGGCCTACAACTCCCAGAAACCCCAATCATTTTACTAGCTGTTAGGATTTCTGGGAGTTGAAGGTTCTCAACCCACAGGTTGAGAACCACTGTTTCAGATAGTCTGAAAGGAATGCAATGACCGAAGGAAGTGACCTTCAACGTATTTCCCTGAAGTTTTACTATATGTATCACTTTACATCTGCTGCCACCTGCTGGTACATAACCTATTGTTTGATATCTGAAAGTTTTTTTAAAAAAATTACACCAGTGACTTTTTTCTTACTACTGAACTTAAATAAGCATATTTCTTTTATTTTCTAATATGTAACAGAAAGGAATATAAACACACAGTATCTATGGCCAAAAAAACAAGTGACACCTGTCTTTCATGAACTGGCTTTCAATTCCCATATAAAAACATACATAAAATTACTTTAAGGTGCACAATTCAGAACTTATGTCTTCTCTAAAAGGGCCCATTATGTTTCTTTCAAATATGCTGCTGTCAATCCTACAGCCCATGTCCTCCATAACACCTCATACTTTGGGATTCTGTCTGTCTATTCGTCTTCTCATATTTTATACTGAGATGCAGGGAGGCTTCGCAACAGACCAAAAAGGTCCATTTCACCTGTGTCTATATCTTTACTAACAGTTTGATCTAGCTAACAACACAATCAGGTTAAAAGCCAAGGAATAGGGCCCAGTGAAAAAGTCCGCAATAATAAAAAATGGATCTAGCTTCTGCCTTCATTTAGAAGCTGGGAATTTTTCTGCCTCTTGTGTTCCCAGGCAAATCCCCAATTTATAAACTAGAAATATGCCTCCTTTGAGAGAGGAAAAAAAAACAGAGTACAGATGGTAATATTCAGAACTTAGAAAGTACTTGTTAAAAGCAATGCAACATATGATATAACCCAAAAGTAATTTATTAAAACAAATATTATTGATCCCTGCCTCTATTAACATGATGAGTCAACAACAGCATCACTATTTTGCTGCTTTTTTTTGGAAGGCTTCATTAGATTGCTGGAATGATATAAATGAGAAACCCTGCCCAAACACTTCTTAAAAGGTCAAGAATGTATACGTCACTATCGTTTTTTTCTTCTCTGTCTCCTGTCAGATTTTTACGCTCCATAACAAGGATAACTAGCAGCCTGGTGCTAATGTGGCTTCCACTGTAATCTGACCTCACTCAAATTGAACATAGGTTCTACATTCTAACACCTAGAAGCAGTCATAAATGCCTATAAGAAGAAAAGAGCAGAAAAGAAAGTGCAAGCATTAGACCAGAAGAAGAACACTAGGATGACTGAATTCACAATATACTGTGGAACTTAGGTGTTTCCTCTTTTGGGGGGGGGGGGTTGGGGTTGGGGGGGCAGCAACAAGGTAGGACTCCTGGGGAGCATGTAGCAGCACTCCTATATTATCTCTGCTTTGAGAGAAAATATTCTGTTTGTTCTAAAAAATCATAAATAGCCCAAAATCTATTATTCTGAGTTTATCCTTGCTCAAAAACTATTAGCATAGTTCAGGACAACGAGGAACTAGAATGTCTAGGCTTCTACCTTCACCCCTTTCACTACATACCACATATTGAGATCTATCATATAAAACAAGAAAGCAGCAGTTAAGTTTTGAAAAAAATAGTTTTAGATTTTTCTCAGAATGTGTCATAGGATAATGCTGGAGGTATGTGGCTTTCAGTGGAATCAAGTACTTACTGTACATTTCTAGGTTTGGACCAAGCCATGCTTTGAGTCTCCTTCAAACCTAACCGCAGCCCATTCAGTGCACCAAATGCAGCTCCTGTTAAGGCAGGATAATAGGATTTATTAGCTACAGCAAGTAAAATCATTCCACACTGTAGATAAAATTAAATATGTAATCTATGGAAAATCATACTAACTGTAATGTTTTATTACGCACATATCATACTTTTCCAATCCTGAAACTGTTTAATAATTGTATATATACAATAAAAAGACAACACAATTTTACAAAGATAGTGGAGATCTTAATGTCAAGAGCCATCTACTTCCCCATTTTTCTTTGTTCCAGATATTCGTCCCTGCACTTCGGGTTTTGTTTTCTCTTTTCACCTGTTATTGCACCTCAGCTCACAGCACCTAGCCCTAATCTGTAACAGGAGTTTGGTGGGAGAGCCCTTAGGGTGGAATTCTGCAATAGACTAAGACTGTGGGAAATAGCCATATTCTTCTTCAACCATCCTGAAATCATAAACCTTGCCACTCTGATTCTCATATTAGAAGAAAGGTGAGATACAAAATAAACAAATAAGTCTTAATAGTTACTTCCATATCCACTATAATGAGCTCTCTTCCGCAAATAATCTGTCTCTGTTTTTAATCATCTTTTCTTTTATCCATTACATGTAGCTTGCCCATGTTACTGTGATTGTGCTTATTGTAATCTTATATTGCTATGTTGTCATTTGTTTTATGTAATTGTGTTATTATTGTTCATTATTTACTTTTTCGGGTTTATTTTATGTAATTGTTGTTTGGGCTTGGCCTCATGTAAGCCGCACCGAGTCCACATCAAATAAAGTTTATTATTATTATTATTATTATTATTATTATTATTATTATTATTATTATATTAAAATACATTTTTTCCTCTAAAGATGTACAGTGGAACCTCTACTTAGGAGCATCCCAATTTAAGAATTTTTGGAGTTAAGAGCTGTCACTCAGCCCGAGTTTTGCTTTGACATAAGAGCAGCATTTTGAGTGAAGAGCTTGTGCTGGAGGCAGCAATAGTGCAAAAGTACAGGGCTTTAGGATTTCAAGGGAGCAGCCTCTGTGCCTCGTGCTCTTGTCTACTTTGGGAGATTGTGGTCTGCTTTGAGAACTTTCGAGTTAGTTGATTCTGCTTCTTTGCTTTGCTTTGCCACAACTTTGTGCTTCGACCATTTTAAGTTGATCTTTCTTTTTTATTGTTCTATGTGAATGTGCATTTTACATTATTTCTTATTTAAAGGTATTTTCTTATTTAGAAACACGTAACAAAAATGGGAGGGGGTTATTTGCTTTGAGATAAGAGTGTTTTGAGTTAAGGTCACGGAACGCATTAAACTCTTAAATCAAGGTATCACTGTACTGGATTTGGACAAACAGTTGGTAACTCTATTGCCTGTTGTTTGTATGCATGTGTGTATTTTATATTCTGCCTTTCTTCCAGTAATAGAAATAAAAATAACAGATTTAAAAACAACAGAGATAGAAAACTATTCAAAACACTCAACAAAAGTACAAAGGTTGTTTTAACTGATAAAATTAAATACGTAAAGATATATACACACCTCAATGTATCAACATTGTATTGCAGCTGATGTCCTGCTTAAACTTATAAATGCATTCCCAACATTGTAAAGAGCCCCTGAAGAAAGACTTATATTTTTGGTCAGGAAATTCTTGGAATAATCTCTTTTTAAAAGACCCTATCCTTTCTTTGAATCAGCCTTTATTAGATGTTTCCAGTTTCCTTTTCTTTTGCTTATAATACTAATCCAGGCAGCTGACCACAGATGGAATTTAGAGATGAACATGAGACCTGTTCCCAAAGAAGTGACCAATGCCCGCTCAAACTATCATGCATGTGTTTTATTGTTCATTCTTGACAACAAAGCTCCTGCATTCATTAGCCTTTGTAACATCTGAAATACAGGTCTGCAGAAGTTTACAAAACAGGAAGGAAAAGAAACACACAACAGAGATCATGTGGGCTAAAAATCAATACATAGTAACAGGGCATTGTAGAATAAAGTATAGGGCATTGTAGAATAAAGTACAACAGAATCCTGTTGCTTTTGCTATACCTTTTTTCCTGCAACAACTTTATTCTGGAACTTTCCAATTTGGCACATACAGAGTTATATATCCAGATAACTCTGAAATGGAGTTTAAATGTTGGATAATTACACTCATACATGATTAACTGCATGAGCACTGTAATGATTTAAAGGCATCAGTTCAATGCAGTGATACAAATCAAAACTGACTCCATACCTGTCATGCAACATCCTCCAATTGTAAAGAAGGCCAGCTCAAACCTGCCCCTAGTTTTGCTAGCTCCAGTGGGTAATATGAATTCATCTGTATCCTGAAATAGAAATATCCATTTTATATTACCTTTTAACTTGTGAAGTGTTCAAATGACAAATTAGTTCCAAGATAAATTGTATATATTGTATATGTTACTTTGCAAATATACTTAACATCAAGTGAGAACCAAGAGTAAGTAAACATGATTTTAACTGTGTCACAGTGAGTCACAAACATGGTTAAATAACTCTACACATTTGGTTTTAGATGGGTAATTCCTACATTTGTAAGTATAGTATTATGCCAAATGCATATGGAACATTAAATGTTAAGAAGGAGCAAATCAATACTGAATATTTTCAAGAAGTCAGTGTATACTGAACAAATATGTATGCTTCCAGACTAGTGCTGAGCAGGATGGTAACTGCTCTGCACACTCTCAGTAAAGCATAGTGCTGCCCCACACTGGTTGTCAGTCATCTCCAGAACGAAGACAACAACACACAGCAAAACCAGACAGCACTTTTATCTTCCAGTAGTGTAACACTGTCACAGACATGGTACTGACAAAGACAGCTGACCACCACTGGAATTTGAGAACCAACTATACTCAATCAGTTCCCAGATTAGCATTAGTTCACACATGTTCATAAGAAAGCATCTTCTCTTCCTCTGTCAGTCTTCAAAAGAACAAGCTAGACCCTACTGTCTCAAACTTCTGGATGTGTGGACTGTGTATGGGAGCAGAACATATATTACACCTTTTTAGTAGGGCCGTACCTTCCTACTTCGGAGGAGATGATAGGGGCAACACCAAGACCCAGCCAACGGCCGTTTCAGAAGCCTCTGTATACCATCATGTCACTTTTAATTCCCAAACCTATTTTAGATTTTTTTCTGAAAGCAAATTCAGTTCCCATTCTGAAAAAGCACCTACAAGGTAAGAATGTTTCTTAGGACAGTGGTTCTCAACCTGCGAGTCCCCAGGTGTTTTGGGCTACAACTCCCAGAAATCCCAGCTAGTTTACCAGCTGTTAGAATTTCTGGAAGTTGAAGGCAAAACCATCTGAGGACCCACAGGTTGAAAACGAGGGCCTCAGAGGCTTCTGGGGGTATAACTGGACACTTCTTTGGCCAAAACCTTTCCGACGGCCTGAAAAACTAGCTTGAGGGACTACAGTTTAAACATCTCTTCATTAACCCAGCAAATCCCAATATGAACCCTCATCCTAAATTCTAGATTAAGCCCATTAATGTTTATTTATGACAAATACAATCCATTAGTCCTGAAGGTACCCACTGGAAAGCATTGCCATGAAGAATTCTTAGTTTAATTTTATTCCTGAAATGAATAATTTAAACATCAAGAACTATCTGTTATACAGTATGAAAAATCATGGACATCTTACCTGTACAAGGTATCTGGGATCCACATTCAAATAAGGAGACAAAGGGTTCATTCCAGTCACTGCAAAGGAGGAAAGTTATAAGAGAAAAATATCAGGCAGAACAGGTACATTTCTAAAGTGTAACTCAGCCGTATATATGTATGTAAACACACACTTTGGATAGCACAGGGGGTGATTAACACTCCTGTGGGGTTTATTTTGCTATCTGTGCCCCTATTCAGAAGATTTTGCCTCACTTTCTGTCCTTGTGAATATTGAATTTTGAAAAAAAAAATTGTTGTGTAAACAAGGATTGGTGATAAACCTTCAGTGGAGACACTTTCCCCCTATGATAACTGTTCCAGGACTGGATTTCTCTTTCAGGGGGTAGGTTTCTTTTACTTCTTGCTGTCTTGCCCCTCTTCTTAATCATAAGTTGTCTGTAAAACTATACAGTATTCATATCCCACTTTCTCCCTCAAACTAGTAGTACACAATGCATATTATTAATTAGTATTACATGATGCCCATCCAGTCCAACAGCTTGAGTCCCCTTCGAGAGAGATAAAGCAGGATGTAAATAAATATAACAATACATTTTTAAAACTGAAATATAATTTAAAACATGGAAAAGGGGATATTCGAACAGAATCAAAACCATAATTTGAAGTTCAAACTTCAAATTAAAAGGATAAAATATGTTAGTTTTCTATTATTTCATAGGACTCCAAAGCAGTCCATTTTAGGAGGGAGAGTTGAAGGAGGAAAATCATCTTCTCATTTTTGTTGCTTATCTCTGACTCCCCACACTCACCCTATGTCATAAACGAGAGCTGTTTCCATGACGGTGACATGGGTGAGTGGAAACACAGGAATAAATGGTTTAACTTCTTAAATCCTCTCCCCATCCCCTGTAAAATAGGCCTTCCTTCACTGTCTAGGCCCGGTTTTGGCCTCCACCCTGATAATGGATGAGTATCAATGCTATTAAATACAGCACAGTTTGAAACAATACACCACCATGTGGCCCATTATTTAAAATGGCATGTTTTACAAGCCTTGTCTGATGGAAGGGCTGGGGGGGGGGGGGGCATTGTGGCTTCTCTGAGAAGGGAGTTCTTGAGCTGTGGCCCCTTTCACGCAGTAGTATAAAACCTATATTGAACTGGATTAAATGGCAGTGTGGACTCTGATAACCCAGTTCAAAGCAGATATTGCAGATTATTTGCCTTGATATACTGTAACATCCCAAGAAGTGAGAGATTCTGTGTATGGGGAGAACAAACAGTGGAAGATATCGAACATTTCTTAATTGACTCTCCAGCATATGCTGAACTGCGAGACAGATATTTACATCCAATATTATCTAACTGCAGGTCCCCCAACAGAAATGATCTTCTGACATTCCTCTTGCAAGGACAAGAAAGATCCACCATAATAAGAGTAAGAACTGTTATTCTGAAAGCTATCAAGAAAAGAGCACATTTCCTGAAAGAAGAGCCAGGAAAATAAGAGTCTGACTGTAAATAGGTCAGCTGCTGTCCTCTCCTTTTTTGCCTTGTATTTTATTTGTGATGTATTTTGAAATGGTTATATGACTAGTCAAATAAATAAATAAATTATTATGATTATTATTATCTGCCATGATATTTTGGGTTATATGGTTGTGTGGAAGGGCCCAGAGAGGCCTGCTCCCACTTCTTTCCCTGGGATTTTGGCCTGCATCAACAGGAGCATAGTGTTTTGATCTAGGGAAGTAATGCCACCCCTCTATAGATAAATCATAATAATTTATTTATTTATTTGACTAGTCCTATGACCATTTCAAAATACATCACAAGTAAAATACAAGGCAAAAAAGGAGAGGACAGCAGCTGACCTATTTATATAAATTATTATGATTATTATTATCTGCCATGATATTTTGGGTTATATGGTTGTGTGGAAGGGCCCAGAGAGGCCTGCTCCCACTTCTTTCCCTGGGATTTTGGCCTGCATCAATAGGAGCATAGTGTCTAGATCTAGAGAAGTAATGCTACCTCTCTATTCTGCCTTGGTTAGACCACACCTGGAATATTGTGTCCAATTCTGGGCACCACAATTGAGAGATATTGACAAGCTGGAATGTGTCCAGAGGAGAGCGACTAAAATGATCAAGGTCTGGAGAACAAGCCCTATGAGGAGCGGCTTAAAGAGCTGGGCATGTTTAGCCTGAAGAAGAGAAGGCTGAGAGGAGATATGATAGTCATGTATAAATATGTGAGAGGAAGCACAGGGAGGAGGGAGCAAGCTTGTTTTCTGCTTCCCTGGAGACTAGGACGCGGAACAATGGCTCATCATGAAAGAGGAGATTCCATCTGAACATGAGGAAGAACTTCCTGACTGTGAGAGCCGTTCAGCAGTGGAACTCTCTGCCCCGGAGTGTGGTGGAGGCTCCTTCTTTGGAGGCTTTTAAACAGAGGCTGGATGGCCATCTGCCAGGGGTGATTTGAATGCAGGGGGTTGGGCTGGATGGCCACGAGGTCTCTTCCAATTCTATGATGGAGGCGAGACCGAGGAGGGCCTACTCTCCTGAGGATCCCTGACGCACACACGGAGAGGCGAACTGCCAAACTGCTTGGGGTGAAGGCCGCCGCGACCTTGAAAGGGAGTCACGTCACCGCGTGGCTTTGAGGACCCCCCTTCCCCCCGCCCCCGCTCTTCTCAGCCAGAGACAGAAAAGAGGCACGAGTGAGGCCTACTCACGAGGCACGCCGGCCAGGTCCGCGTGGGAATAGCCCGGCCCGCCGACTCCCCCGGCGCCGAAGAGGCCTCCGAGGCCGGAGTTCTTGGTGTTCCCGGCGCCCCCCTCCATGGAGGCGGAGGACGGCCCTCTCCGTCAGCTTCCTCTCAGCCCGCCGCCGCGCGCTCCTTCCTTCCTGCCTCGAGGCCGGCGCGGAAAGACAGCCCAAGACGACCTCTCTGGAGTCGTCGCGCGAGTGGAACTTGCTGCCGTAAAGCGAGGCCTCGCGACCTCTTTACCTCACTCTTTCCCTCTCGCGCGCGCGCTGCGGTTGGACGCTTCCCCTCAGTATCCGTTCCCTCCTTCCTCTTTCCGCTTTGCGACTTCGCTTTGCGGCCGAGCGGGGAAACCAGGAGGAGAAGCAGCGGAGTTTGAGGGGAAAGGTCCTCCTCTCAGTGTCGGGATGTGGGCCCCGCTGCCTCCCTTGGGCCCGGCCCCCTCTGAGCGCGGCTGAGCCTGCTCCTGCTCGGCCTGCCTGAGGCGAGCGCACCAAGGAGGGCCGGGGAGGCCGCCCACCAGCATGAGTGCGGGCCCCGAGTGGGAAAACCCCCGGAAAAGGCCCCGCTTGGACCCCTTCGTGGACTCCCCCGCAGACTCCGAGGAGGGACAGAGCCCTTCCGCCCAGGGAGGAGTCACCTCACAGCCTCCGCAGCCTCCTCTTCTTTCTCCTCTCGGCAGGGAGGAAGGGCTCAGCAGCAGCCGAGGCAACGCCACAGTCACGGTGGGGAACAAAGGTTGGTGACAGGCCTTTTGAGGGCCTTCCTGAGGGGCCAACAGACAAGCCCCTTCCAGACAGCTGAAGAAAATCCCTCCTGACCTGCTTTGAACTGAAATATATTACAATATACTGAAATATAGGACAGCGTGGACTCAGGGACTTCCACGCAGTCCTATATCCCACAATATAAGGCAGAAAATCCCACAATATTTATTTACTATTTACTAGCTGTACCCACCACACAATGATGTGGCCAACCTTCCTCTTTTTGGGTTGTTGTAGGTTTTTTAGGGCTGTATGGCCATGTTCTAGAGGCATTTTCTCCTGACGTTTCGCCTGCATCTATGGCAAGCATCCTCAGAGGTAGTGAGGTCTGTTGGAACTAGGAAAAAGGGTTTATATATCTGTGGAATGACCAGGGTGGGACAGGACTCTTGTCTGTTGGAGCTAGGTGTGAATGTTTCAACTGACCACCTTGATTAGCATACAATGGCCTGGCAGTGCCTGGGGCAATCTTTTTTTGAGAGGTGATTAGATGTCCCTGATTGTTTTCCCTGTTAAGCCCTAAATGACTCCAGCCCTGTTTACCTCTCCGAACGTATTCTCCCCATCAAGATTAAGATCGTCTGGAGAGGCCCAGCTCTCGGTCCCACCGGCCTCGCAAGCGCATCTGGTGGGGACGAAGGACAGGGTCTTCTCGGTGGTGGCCCCTCGACTCTGGAACTCTCTCCCACTGGAGATCAGAACCGCCCCTTCTATCCTGACATTCAGGAAACAGGTGAAGACGTGGTTAAGGAGACAGGCATTCGATGAGTGAGCCAACACCTTGAGATATGGATGGAAGATGATGTATAATCGATTTGAGTATGACGACTGACCATTGTAGTTATTTAATATATTTGCTGTTTTAATGTGTTATTGTAATATTAATTATGTTGTTTTACTGACTGTATGTGATTTTATGGTTGGAAACTGGTCTGAGTCCCTCAAAAGAGGTGAGAAGGTCGGTATACAAAACTTTTAAATTAATTAATTAATTAATTAACTGGGCCTCCAGGTTCAATGCCGAGTCCAGGGGGACCCTCAAACTGTGAACCTGGAAAGGTTCTGGAGCAGATCATTAAGGAGGCAGGCTGCAATTACTTAGAAAGGAATGCTGTGATTACTAAAAGTCAGCATGGATTTCTACAAAACAAATCATGCCAGACCAATCTTATGTCTTTTTTTAATAGAGTTACAAACTTGGTAGATGCAGGGTCTGCTGTGGATGTAGCATATCTTGATTTCAATAAGGACTTTGTCAAAGTCCCCCATGACCTTCCTGCAAGCAAACTAGTCACATGTGGGCTAGGCGATGCTGCTATTAGGTGAATCTGTAATTGGTTAAGCGACCAAACCCAACGGATGCTCATCAATGGTTCCTCTTCATCCTGGAAAAAAGTGACTAGCGGAGTGCCGCAGGGTTCAGCCCCGGGCCCAGTATAGTTCAACATCTTTATTAATGACTTGGATGAAGGTTTAGAAGGAGTGCTTATCTAGTTTGCAGATAACACCAAATTAGGAGATATAGTTAATACACCAGAGGACAGAATAAGAATTCAAAATGACCTTAACAGATTAGAGACTTGGGCCAAAATTTTCAACAAATGTAAGATACTACACGTAGAATTGGATCACACGTCGGACACTTCCCAAGTCTCTAGGACTGTGTGATGTATTGGCAAATAATGCGTACAGATCACCTTGACTGGCTTGTGACAGAGTCTTTGCAGTTCGTGTCAGTTTTTCCTGTTGTTTCTCTGCAATCCTGCTGTCACCTGGGATTGCGACATCGACGATCCATACTTTGTTTTTTAAAACAATTGTGAGGTTATTATTCTTATTATGTTTATTATGTTTATTTATACCCTGGTCTTTCTCTCTCTACAAAAACAACACAAAGTGGCTTATGGAGAAACCAAACAAGATAAAATTTAAGACCTAAAATATACAAACATTAAAATAGAATTAAATATTAATGATATTAAAAAGTAAACAATTAAAATTCTTTAAAACTGATTATGGTTAGTGACTTGACTACACACAGATTTATATTTTTGTAGAAATTGACATGTATCCCTCCTTATTTAAATTGTGATGACTTTCTGAGATGGTGACTCCAGGTAGTGTGAAATAAGGATATCATGTCTGATATCATACAAGGGCAGCATTGTGACCCATCTTATATCTGACCATATTTACTTGGTAACCAGTTGACAACATTTGACCTGCTATTTGATATCACAACTTTATATATTTTCATTCCGTATTTGAGATCAGTTTTTTGAAGGTAGACAATTTGGTTGTCCAAGATAACTTTGGGATATTGGCCATATCATAACATTATGTATTGTGACGGGAAGACTAAAATGCTTCAAGGAAAGGTGATATACTTTGTTTGATGGCATAATGTTGTTGAAAGAGTTGCAGTAATTATCTAATACAGAAGAAAGTTAGTAAGTTCCACAATATTTAAAATTACAAATACCAATTCATAATTCAAGGAGGAGTAGGTAAGCCTTACTGAGTCTTGGACTGAAGACAAATGCATTTGTTAGGGCTGACTTCTTTAGATACATGACATGTATTGAACATTTCAGAAATGTATATGCATATTTAGATTTAGGTATGGTAGCCTGTATTACACATGCTAGTAATCATACTGCTGTATTCTGCTTTAACCAGATGTCACCTTGAAGAATTTGTCCAGTTCAGGGCACTGCAGTTAAAGAAGAATATTGACTAACTGGGAGAGGTCAAAGATCTGGAAGTCAAGCCCTATGAGGAGTGGCTTAGGGAGCTGGCTATGTTTAGCTTAGCAAAGAGATGGTTAAAAGGTGACATGATAACCATGTTCAAATATTTGAAAGGATTATTGAGGAAGGAGCAGGCTTGTTTTCTACTGCTCCAAAGACTAGGATATGAATCAAGGGGATTAAACTGAAGGAAAAGAAATTCCACCTAAACATTACAAAGAGCTTCCTGACTGCCAGACCTATTTGGCAGTGGAATACATTGCTATGTAGGACTGTGGTATAGTCTCCTTCTGTGGAGGGTTTTAAACTTAGGTTGTACAGCAATCTGTCAGGAGTGCTTTGATTATATATATTTTTGCATGGCAGAATGAGGCTAGACTGGATGGTGCTTGTGGTCTCTTCCAACTCTACGATTCTATAAGAACTGTATGTGCACTTAGAGATAAGTGTCACTAGGGCTTATTCCTTAATGATCATGCTATTCCAGAAGTATGTTTAGCTGTGGAATATTTTTACATTTAAAATTCAAACTTGGAGACATAAAGTGTAGTGAATTAATCATTGATTGCCAGAGCATTGAACTAGATGTTGCTTGGAATCAATTTCAGTTCTAAATGTTCATGCAACTGTAGCCTTGAAAGGTTTTGTTCCTGAAAAAATGTTTTATACTCCTTGTTTGCTTAGTTTAGAATTTTCCTATTCTAACAGAATGTATTGTGCTATTTTTTTCTAGTTTACAAACAAAGGAGGATTACCTCTTGGATGGAAAATAAAGGACCCAGAACGGCGGAGTCAAAAAGGTAAAAACAGAAACAACAAATTGCAAGAAAAAAAATCATTTCAGTATTGTGTCTAAAACTATTACATATCCCAAGCAAACTGTAACTGACCTCAGTCTCGGCTATTTTGTTTTTTGACTGACCTAACTTTGCTTGTAGGGAATAAATGTAGTTTGGGAATACAGAAAATTCAGATACTCCTGGGAGTTGTTGAAAGAAGTTTTTAACCTTCTCTCCCGAAGAGTGTGGTGTCTAAACTACTGCTTCCAGAATCCCATGGCATTGAGCCATGGAAATTTAAGTGCATTCATTCTACAGTGTAGGCCCACCCAAGTTCTTCTGCTAGCATAAACTTTTAAGAAAAGAAAATAGCAAAAGATTAAAATCACATGAGATTCTTTCTCATTGTAAAAGAAGCATTAAATTACAATTGTGGGAAGAAGAAATGCAAGCTCACATGCCAGCTTTAAAAATTATACTATCAGTTCTTCACTTTTGCTGGAATTTGGTGCATAGGACTCCCGGGAAAATGAAAGACCGCCATTAAAAATGCTGGGTTTTTTTTAAGTTCTTTAGGATTCTCTAGGTCAGGGGTCCTCAAACTAAGGCCCGGGGGCCGAATGCGGCCCTCCAAGGTCATTTACCCAGCCCCCAGGCTTTTTTTTATATAACTGTTTTTTTATATAAATTGTTCTTCATTTTAATTATTGTACTGTTTTAAGTGTTTTTTGCACTACAAATAAGATATGTGCAGTGTGCATAGGAATTCATTCATATTGTTTTTTTAAAAAAAATTATAATCCGGCCCTCCAACAGTTTGACAGACTGTGACCTGGCCCTCTGTTTAAAAAGTTTGAGGACCCCTGCTCTAGGTCCTCCAGCATGGAACCTAGGAAACTAAAAAGCTGCTTTATACTGAGTCAGACCAATGTTTTCCCTATAGTCTAACCTTGTCAACTCTGATTTGCAACAATGTAAGATCTGAAGAGGAAGTTTGCTGTGGTAGTAGCTGCATTTGTTCCACCACCAGAGTGAGCTAGTCCCTTGCCTTAAATCAGTGGTTCTCAACCTGTGGGTCCCCAGATGTTTTGGCCTTCAACTCCCAGAAATCCTAACATCTAGTAAACTGGCTGGGATTTCTGGGAGTTGTAGACCAAAACACTTGGGGTCTCACAGGTTGAGAACCACTGCCTTAAACTGTCCCTTGCTTTGTCTTCTTGTCAAGAAGACTTTTGTAAATTGAATGAGACTGCATCAACAAGGATCTAGTGTTTTAGGTAGAATTCTTTCTTCACCCAACCTGGAGACCAGTAGCATTTCCTTATGCTCACCTACCCAACCTCTAAACAAATTGGACTTTGCTTAGTTTTTAAATCCAGATGATTTTTTAATATTCAGAATAGTATGGTATACTAATAAAAGTACTACAGATTAAAATGACTTTTTAGATTATGGATGGTTAGTGTACACTTCTGCACATTTCCCACTAAGTAATACTAAGCAGTGTAATGTATTTCTTATCCATTGTACAGAACATATTTTTATCATATTTACCCCATGTACAGCACTTTATGTAAATGCAGTCAAAGCTCCTTGAAACTAGTAGGATTTTTTTGGTAATTTATTATTTTAGACGGTGTGCTAGTTTTCAGAAAATGAATATTTTCAGTTTCACAAAATTCTTAACACAGTATAGTTTACACAGAATTAAACCCCACTTAGTTTGGCTGTGCTTCTGTCCAGTTAAGTAGGATTGTAACCATGGCATCATATAATCTTGAAGGGATTTGGCCTACACATATCTCTATTGTGAGTATACGTATGTAAAATTGTATGTAAACCCATATAGTTTAACTTGTTTTTGTCTGTATGTTTTATGAAATAAGAATTCATTTAATGTAGCTATTGTTTTATTCTCCTTGCACAGCTTGAAAAATAAAACTAGTGGCACTGAAGCAGATCTCAAAATGACATTTGTCAAGAAAGACAACGTTTTTGAACATGAGGTGGAAAAAAATGAGGATGTTCTAGAGCAGAGCTGTTCTGGGTTGTCTGCAGAAATGCCTCAGGCTGGTGCCTTGCATAAATGGGAAACCGATGGCATGCGTAGAGATCAGCCCTCAGAAGCAGAGCACATGAAAATCACTCAAGCTGGAGACCAGTTGAGAAATGCAAACATAAATCAGATACACAAAACTGATGGTCAGACGCATCACGTTTGCAATGAGGAGAATTATTCCACTAGGAAACTTTCACCTGGCAGTCCTGTGAAGATAGGAGATATGAAACACCCTTCAAAAGGGAGCAATACAGAAAAGCAAACGACTTCACAAAGTCCTCAGTCCCTTAAGAACTGCAACCCTGAGCATGTATCCTGTATAAATGCTGCACTAGATGAGATAGATGTGATTCCTGAGAGCCCGCTTTCAGATGCAGGCTGTGATGCATGTTCATCTGACTTGTATGTTTCTCAAAACAGAAATCAAGGATTCTTGGGAAAGTCTCCATCTTTTGAGAAGGAAAGTGAGCCTGACTCACCAATGGATGTAGATAATTCCAAAAACAGTTGTCAGGGCTCAGAGGCTGATGAAGAAAGCAGCCCACTTCTTGAGGACCAAGACGATATTGATGTGTCAAAAACACTTAGCAAATCTTCACAGGTTCAGAGATCAGGTGCTGACTTGGATTCTAGGAAATCAAACTTTTCTCCCCAAAGAGGCGAAGGTGTACTGTTTAGCCTCCACTTGGAAGAAACAGATAATCTGCTCAAACAAGAAGAAACACACACGGACTCATCTGGGATTGTGTCAACAGAATGCAAAGGTGCCAAACATTGTGGGAAAAAAGATTCTAAAATTACGGCCCATTTCATGAGGGTTCCAAGGACAGAAGATAAAAGGTAAAATCATTGTTCTTATTCTCATTTCTTCAATTTCTATTCTATTCCAGCTGTGTTGCAAGTATATTTTGGATTTCTCTGTATGATAAGCAATCTTAGGAGGAATTAACAATGAATATTTGATGTAAAAAGATGTGGAATTCAGTGTGGAATTAATCTGAGTAGCATAACTCATAAAATATGACTAGTATAGGTCAGTAGTTTCCAATCTGTGGGTCCCCAGATGTTTTGGCCTTCATTTCCTAGAAATCCTAACAGCTAGTAAACTGGTTGGGATTTCTGGGAGTTGTAGGCCAAAACACCTGGGGACCCACAGGTTGCGAACCTCTGGTATAGGTGCTGGAAGGGATGAGACAGCGATTGGGATGAGTGATAAACCAGATCACAACCAGTAATCCAAAATACCAACCTGACAAAATGAAAGTGCTGTTACAGAGCAATACATCTGATCAAGGAGTGGTGTTCAATTTCTTTTAAATAAACTTTCCTTTCGCTTCAGTGATCCAAACTGCAATTCAAAGGTGCTGATTGATACAACAGGATAACCATGTAACTTCCATAGTTCTCAGTATTTTCTGTCAGCTTGAACTCATGCACCAAATCTAAACTCTCCTGCACATTTAGCTTTGCTCTGTAGCCCCATAGACACTGATTATTTAAGTGAGTTTGGATCATCTTGCGGATGGCCACAAAACACACTTGGGCTGATCTGGTTTAATCTGGGGAAAGTCGCTTAATGTGCCTGTGCCTCAGGTTAAAATGATAATAATAATAAAAAACTTTATTTGTACCCTACCACCATCTACCCAAAGAGACTCGAGGTGGATAACAAAGCATTCAAGGTGCTAAACATATCAAAACAATACACAAATTGACTGAATACAAACAATGGACAACGTCAATTGATAAAACATTTAAAAATTCTAAAACACATACATATGGGTCATTGGGTTTCTTCAAGCACCAAGTAAAGTGCCAAATAACAATGCTCGACGTCATCACATGACCATAGTACATGGCTCCAGGTTAAAAGCCCATGTAAATAACCATGTTTTTAGACTTGAACGGAAAGTTTGGAGATTTGGGGTTAATCTCATCTCTCTAGAGAAAGCATTCCAGAGTCGGGGAGCCACCACCGAGCAGGCCCTCTCTCTTGTCCCCACCAACCGCACCTGTGACGGTGGTGAGACCGAGAGAAGGTTCTCCCCAGCAAGATCTCTAGATCCGCACCGGTTCCTATAACTCAAGGTTATACCATAATCTTGTACCAGGATTTGGGCTTTCCCCTGAGTTATGGCACTGCAGACACCCACAGCCAGTTCCTTTGTGCAACCGGTGCTCCATCCTGCGCTCCCTGGGCTCAGGACACAAGATAGCTGTCACCTCCTACCTTCACTCTCCCTGTCGCTGCCAGCTGCAGTGGTGACAGGGTGACCCTACTTCATCATGAAGATTGTTCCAAAAATTTCAAATGACTAGGCAACGTATTGAGACCAGTTGTAGGAATTATATTGCAACATATCTTACATTACTCTACTGACTGCTGGTTTAGTTTGGGGCACAATTCATAATGCTGATGTTCACTCTTAGAAGCCTTAAGACTGAAATATCCAAAGGATTGTGTTCTGTGTGAGCCTCACTGACTTCTGTGTTCACCATTCGAGATTCTTCTTTGAGTCTACTGTCTTTTAAATGTTGGGCAAATGGTGAGCAGAGAAAGGACTTTTTCAATTATAATGATCTGCGTCAGCACTCATCTTCTCAGATGTGTATGTGCTTCCTGTCCTGTTTTATTTTTGATATTAGCAAAGGCCTTTTTCTTTGCCCATCCCTGCCCAGACATTAGCTCACTAGTTTTCAATAATACATTTGCGGCAATAGGATTTTCTTGCTGTTTTTCATGTTTGGTTTAAAGTAGTGGTTCCCAACCATTTTTTTGGACCAGGGACCACTTGACCAGGGACCATTCTCCAACGTTAGTACCAAAAGGGTTACGGATCAGTTTTTGGTCAGCTTTAGATTTGGTTTGGGGTGCTGATTCAGAAAATTGCATTGGATAGAGCACATCAGCTCTAGTTTCTGATACAGAACGTATGCCATGGTCAGCAACAGGGAAGGAGTGGCAGATGGCACAAAAAGAGCGGAAATAAATAAATAAATAAAAATAAAGAGGAAGGGGGCTCAAAGACCAGATTTTCATCCTCATAGACCACCGGTGGTCCAAAGTTATGAAATGGTTAGCCTGCGGTGAAGGCTTTCTGTTGAAGACCAATGTTTTCTGAATTCTTTCTGTAATCCATGATGTAACAGTGTGAACTCATTTTAACTAATGATCTGGGCACCATTTTCAAACAGCAAATGAACATTTAGAACCTCAAGTGTATAACATCTCCTTGCCAATTACTCCACGCTAATTTCTTTATAACATTAAACAAATGACTGTTTGAATTTATAAAGTCATAATCACTGATAAAACACCACAAATGAACAAGCTTTCATATTATCTACTATCACAACAAATACAGTACTGTTTAAGAAAGGAAATTCCTTCATCTGTATAAATAAAAATGTAGTGTTCGCTTGTGGGACACACATAACTCAAAAACCACTGGACGAATTAACACCAAAGTTGGACACAACACACCTCTCAGGCCAACGAATGACCATCACTCATAAAAATACTGAAAAACACAATAGAAGAGACTTAAAAAGCAAAAAAATAAAAATTACATTACAACGCATGCACAAAACCACTTATATACACATATACACACATACACACACACACATAAGACATATACACAGACTGGGCCACAGCAACGCGTGGCAAGGGAATGCTAGTCTACGTATACATTTCTGTGCCATGTAATTTTGAATATGATTTACTAATGGATACATTGCTGTGTCCTGCATATTATGCAACCTTAAGTAAACATGCAAAGGGGGTAAGTGTAAGTAGGTCTTCAAACAGTTAAAATCACCAAGTTTTCTTATATGTCATTGGAATGTACTGTTAATTAGGGAGATTGTTAAAAAGAATGATAGAAAAAAAAGTGTGCTCCTGCCCCTTGAAGTCTCTAGCCAACCGGAAAAATGCATTTAGTATACCAATTTTGTTGTGTTTTTAATGACAGGAACGAACAGTGTGAGTTAAAGTCCAGTCGGCCGGGAAGGAAGATCCCCAAGTACACTCTTCCTCAACTTCCAACTAATAAAAAGTGGTTTGGGACACCCATTGAAGAGATGAGAAGAATGCCAATGTGTGGAACGCGGCTTCCTCATTTGAGGCCCTCTGCCAATCATACAGTGACAATCCGAGTATGCAAGTTGCTTGACCAATGAAACATCTTTCTAAACTGGGGCTGAAAAGATATTATTCTCATTATTTCAGCTTAACATTTCAGCAGTTTCAGACAGCATTAGATTACCACAGTTTCAGGAGGGAAAGTTCTAAGAAACCGGAAGAGTAAAAATTGGGGAAATACAATTTGGCCTAAGATATAGTTGGAGCCATTGTTTTTGTTAAAGTCTTTTCAGGAGAGAGTTACATGGAATACAAAAGGTGGGCATGTCATAGTTCTTCAACCCTGGTTTTCCCACTGCAAATCAAACATCTAACTCACTCACACTATATATGATTTCTAGGACCTGTTTTTATGTATCACTTCCCCATTGTTTGCCTGCTCTGGATTTCTTTCCTTAAGCAGCTTTTCTGCACATACAGTATTAAATGTTGTGCCTTTGCAAACACTAGTCTTAAACTAGGCTCTCTCTGTGTGTTTGTGTGCATGAATGCTCAGAGGAGCAATCTGGAACTCAGAAATTGTTTAGATGTCCTCTTCTTTGATATAAGCTGTACCATTTACAACGAAAAAAGGGGGGTGGCCATTGCAGCCTCGACACATTCATTTGAATGTAACATTTTAATTTCACAAACTACTGTCCTAATGAAAAAAGTTAGGATATAAATTAGGTAATTATAATTCACAGTATTGTCTTCCAAAAATTCATGATTTGTACATTAAAAGAGAGCTGGTCACTCTCCCTTTAATATATTTCCTTGGACTAATGAAGTCTTGCTACAAACTTCATGTGCTTCAAAAAGAGGAAGAAAGGGAAAAAGGAGGCAAACTGTTTTTGTTCATTGTTGAGCTATTTGTCCTGTCATCAGTTAGTGATAACTGGCCAATACACATATTTATTGCCTATGTTGTTTTCTTTTTTTCTTTTTTCTTTTTGTGTTGAATGACAGGTTGCCTTCTAAATGTACAAGTGCTAATCATGATAAATTATATAAAACATTAAAAATCAAAATTAAAGGAACAAAAATAGGCAAACGTTTGTGTAACAAAGCCCAGTCTGTGGTAACTGAATATGACTCACTCAAGTCCCAAGGACTTTATTTGATTCTATAAAAGTTTCATTTTTTAAATGCTGTTTGAAACTTAAAACAGTGTAATCATGTTTAAATGTCCATTTGCTCATCTAAGAGGTTTTTGAGCATGAATTGCCCATTTTCCAACATTTTTCAGCAAATTGTCCAAACTTGCCCAACTATCCCGGAATCTAAGATCTTCTGGGGAGGCCCTGCTCTCGACCCCGCCTCTATCACAAGTGAGATTGGCGGGGACGAGGAGCAGGGCCTTCTCGGTGGTGGCCCCCCACCTGTGGAATTCACTCCCCGGGGAAATTAGATCTGCAACATCGCTCCTTTCCTTCAGGAAAAAACTAAAGACATGGATCTGGGACCAGGCATTCGGACAAGCGGGCAGATAAAGAAAGAACTTTGATGATGAAATGATTAATGGATTAGATCTATGGAACTCTGAAGACGAAATGCTGATCATGAGAATAGTTTTTATATGACGTGTTATGTATTGGTTGTTGATTATGTTAACTGTGATAACTGTTTTTAACTATGGTTTTGTATATTATGTGTAATTTGTTTAGGCATCGAATTGTGCCTTTTCTGTAAGCCGCCCTGAGTCCTCCTTCGGGGGTAGAGAAGGGCGGGGTATAAGTACCTGAAATAAATAATAAATATTGTATCTTAAGATGTTTGTTCTACAGTGATATAAATGTCACAAAATTGCATTGACTTGGGGTGTTGTTACCTGTTTAAAAATATATTCTTATTTTGTGGCTTTCAAAGAATATTGATTTTACAGATCAGGAATTTAAGATGACAGGTATTTTTTAATCTTCTTTAAGTACAATTTTGCAAATAATTCTTTACTTATCTTCTCTGTTACAGGTAGATCTTTTGAAGGAAGGAGAAGTGCCTAAACCTTTCCCAACACATTATAAAGATTCATGGGATAATAAACATGTCAAAATGCCTTGTTCAGAACAAAATTTATACCCTATAGAAGATGAGGTAAAACAAATGATTGAATACTTTCCCTATCACTCTCATGTCAGACTCACAAGTCTACCCGTCTTCTAAATATGCTGTAAATCTGGATTTACAAATGTTTAATGGTTAACTACTTGTGATGCATGTGATATTTTGGCCTATGATACTAACTTAAGAGTATCAATTGGGAGGTATGGATGGCATTTCATTTCTCTTCCTGTAGCCTAAATCAGTATGTAAATTAAAGAATACCTAAATCAATATAGGATTGAAACCTGTGTTTTTTAAAATGTGACAACTTAGTATTGAAAGTGCTTTCAGTCAGTGGTGAGAATGAAGTTGCCATGAATTACCCATATTTGCTGTTGCTTTGCTTTCTGAAAGTTGCAAATGCATTTCCCACATCACTTAAAGTATGGAGTTTCCAACTTCCCAATCTCAGGAGGGCAATAAATGAAAGTACCTGAATCCAAATAATTAACTCTTCATACTAGACATTATGAAAGAAGTACTTGGGATTTTTGGTAGGATTTGAGGAAACATTATGGATTGGTTTTAAATATGGTTTTAAAACCATATTTATGGTTTTATGTCCCGACATTTATCCCAGAAGGTCAGGGTTTTGTACCCTATTGTACAGTGTAAGTGTTCCCAGAGTTTTGCTTTATATTTTTATGATGTTGTTTTATCAACTTATTAAAATATTAATTATTATATTTTAACTATGTTGATTGGGCTTGTCTCCATGTTAGCCGCCCTGAGTCCCTTCGGGGAGATGGAGGCGGGATATTAAAAAAAAATTAAAATTAAGTTGTTGTTGTTGTTGTTGTTATTATTATTGCAGATCTTTAAAAATGGTGTATAATTTTAAAAACCATATAAGAATGATTTTCCTGAATTGGGTCAAAGCTCATACAATTACTCCATTTTTGCTTGTAAGAATGACAAGACAGCTGTCTCTGGGAAGCTCATAACTGGCATGAAGATTGTTTATTTTTTAATTTACCTTAAGCAAGATATATTTAACCGTAATGCCTCTAAGCATTGATACTATATTAGCTAGTTGTGACTAATTACTGTTGATGGATCATCAGATTTTCTAAGGTTACTTCCAGACAGACCCTATATCCCATGATCTGATCCCAGGTTTTCCGTTTATCCTGGATTATATGGCAGTGGGGTCTCATATAATCCAGTTTAAAGCAGAAAACCTAGGATCAGATTCTGGGATATAGGGCCTGTCTGGAAGAGCCCTACCTCTGCACTAAATGATTGTCACTGGATTACCTTAAACACCATCTACTTTCACATGATGGCATGCATATTCTTAATCGACAGTCCTTTTTCTATGTCCATAAAATTGATTAATCTCCCTTTACTAACCACTGCGGAAACTAAGATCTTCTGGGGAGGCCCTGCTCTCGGTTCCGCCACCATCACAGGCGCGTTTGGACGGGACAAGAGACAGGGCCTTCTCAGTGATTGCCCCCTAGTTATGGAACTCCCTTCCTGGCAATATTAGATCAGCCCCCTCTCTCCTGTCCTTCAGAAGGATGGCGAAGACCTGGCTGTGGGACTAAGTCTTTGGGACAGTGCAATGAGGCAAAATTTATTATTTATTTAAAACTTTTATATCCTGATCTTCTCATCTTTGTAGAGGGACTCAGACTGGCTTACAGCAAAGATTCAATGCTATTAATACAAGCTAAAGCATCATACAACAATACAAAATTAAAATACATATAGATAAAATATATACCAAATCGCCAAGGTAAAATCATGTTCAACTCAGTCCGCATATGTGGCCACTCACTTTGGTCTGTAACCAGTCTCAGCCATTATTCTGGAAATGCTTCGTTCCATAACCAGGATTTCACTAGCCTCCTGAAGGACAAGAAGGAGGGGGCAGATTTAATCTCGCTCGGGCGAGAGTTCCATAGCCGAGGGGCTACACAGAGAAGGCCCTGTCTCTCGTTCCCACCAAACGTGCTTGCGAAGGTGGTGGGACTGAGAGCAGGCCCTCTCCGGAAAATATTAATGTCCTTGATGGTTCATAGGGGAGAATACGTTCGGACAGGTAAACTGGGCCAGAACCGTATAGGGATTTATAGGTTAAAACCCGCACTTTGAATTGTGCTCGGAAGCTAATTGGCAACCAGTGGAGCTGGTGCAGCAAAGGAGTTGTGTGCTCCCTGTACCCAGCTCCCGTCAGTAGCCTGGCTGCCAAGTGCTGGACTAATTGCAGCTTCCAGGCAGTCTTCAGAGGCAATCCCACGTAGAGAGCATTACAGTAATCTATATGGTGTCCTGAGATGGTTTTTAAGCAATTTTTAATGTGAATCTAAGTTATTTTAATGTTTGTATATATTTATGGTTTTATGTCCCGGCATTGAATGTTTGCCATATATATGTTGTACTCCGCCCTAAGTCCCCTACGGGGTGAGAAAGGCGGAATATAAATGTTTTAAATAAATAAATAAATAAATAATTGGCTATCACAAGAAACAGGATCTTTTAAAAATGAAAGTTCTGTGACAGAGCCAATGGGCATCTCTCTTTTTTCCTCATTAGTAACAGCAACGTCAAAGATAGGTGGTAAAATACTAGAATGTACTGGGGCTGTATCTATGGCCCTATCTACATTGACCTTTTAATGCAGTTTCAAACTGATATTGATAAAAATGGTTTCGCTTTGAAGATGATTATATAGGAAATCCTGGAACAAGTTTGAAGCCGCACAAACCACACATAGCACTGGTGCACATTAAGGGTTGCCTTTCCCACATTTTTGTGAGATTTTGTTGTCTGTCTGCCACAGGTTGAAACTAGCTTTAAACTGCCTTAAAATGTCAGTGTAGATGCTTCTGATGAGGCTAAGCAGAATGTGCTTAGCTAAATCCATTTTATCTTAAATGTAACAATTTGTTTCTTTGTCCCTTTAAAGAATGGTGATAGGACTGCTGGGAGCCGATGGGAATTAATCCAGACTTCTTTGCTTAAGAAGTTCACCAGTTCCCGTGATTTGAAGGTAAGCCTATTAAACACTGCCATTTCATCAGAATTGCATGCTTTTCATTCCATGGTTTTTCAGGGATGCATGGTGACACTGAATGCCATCTTACAAGACAACCATATTTATTTCTTTTTTGAATAGAAAATCTGGGGACTAGATTCATTCTAACTTTCACTACCCCTTTGGAAACAAATTCAATTCAAAGTTGCCTTGAATTGTTTATTCATATAACTCCAGTGTGTAACAAAATTGTTAGATACTACTCTGGAGACCAGGGTTTGGATTTCCACTCGGACCATGGAAACCCACTTGGTAACCTTGGACAAATCACAATTTTCTCAGTTTCAGGGGAAGGCAAAGGCAGATCCGCCTCCAAACAAATCTTGCCAAGAAAACCTCATTATAGATTCACCTTAGAGTCACCATAAGTCAGAAATTTATTGAAGAAACATGATAGAATATGATTTTTAAAGGATTAAATACATTTTGTAGATTGGAGTCTTGCAGCTCTGCAATAGAAGCAATAGTTAGCAATTAATTTTAAGAGATTTCGAAGAGGCTTACCAACAGTATTGTGTTTTGATTTCATTGGGAACAAAATAAATATGAAAACTGAAATTGATCATGCTGTCATTTCAGTTAGGATGCCTAAGATCCATGTATTACAAGCTGTCCCTTCATCTATAGATGTCACTAGTTGACTTTATGTTGATACAGTTGATGGAAGCAGCTGTGGTTGTTAAAGATCTGGAACTCAGATGAATGATCATATGACTTGCAGTTGTATGAACACCCTTCAATTTTGCATGATTGCACTGCTCTGCATATTGTGCCTCGAGAATGATCTGTGCAGAGCAAGGAAGTTGTATTTAGTTTGATGGGACAATTTTTTTGAAGCGTCTGCATTCTTGTGTCCAAATGGATTCCAAAATTGAATAGTAGAAACACAACAAATATGGCAATTTCACCGCCACTTAGAATCTTCCAGCTAACAGCAGGAAATGAGGAAAACTCATTGCATCATTATTAGATGCCTACTAAATGTGTATGTTTTTAATTGAGTTCTTTCAAAAAATCTGTTAAAATTTGATCTCTTAGGTGGGATAGATTTTGATACAGTCCAGTACGATATATATTTGTGAAGTAGCCTTGTAACAGCAGAGGGTGCTATTTCCTCAGAAACCAAATCCTTCCATTGCTCAGACTTTTTCCATTTTTATTTTGATAGGAGGCTATTCTCAGATACAACGTTGCATATGCCAAGAAATGGGACTTCACAGCCCTCACTGACTTCTGTGATAAGGTAACGGAAACTTAATTTGGTTTTGGAAAATGAAGAGAAAATTCAGTTACTTCTATCTATGTTTTGTCATGTCAGCATTCCAGATTTCTTTTTTCATTAGTTGTATTCTATTCTAAGGTACCGTATATTCTGGCATATAAGACTACTTTTTAACCCAAAAAAATCTTCTCAAAAGTCAGGGGTCGCCTTATATGCGGGAGTCATCTTATATGCAGGTGTAGTCTTATACACGGGAGTCGTCTTATACGCTGGAGTAGCCTTATGCATGGGAGTCATCTTATATGCGGGAGTAGTCTTATACGCTGAGAGTCGTCTTATAGAGCAGGTGCTGAATCTTCTAATCCGGATTGGAGAATCTGTGGTTGCTGCATATTTTGGGGGGAGCTCAAAAATGGTAGTGACCACGTCCCTGCCATATGCAGCGACTGTATGAAAGCATTAAGGGCGACGCTGTACAAGTATGGTAGAAGAAAATCCATTCATCAGGATTCGTGGACTTAATGCGGTCCCGATAGTGAGGTGAAGGGGCGCCTAACTGGGAAGGGCGGAGCGGAGCAAGCTGCAGGCATCCGGAGCACCCGGGGTATGGAAAAAAGAGATAGAGTGGCTCTGGGCCCAGAAAAACACACCTCTTTTACCTGTCTGGCCAGCCCTTGTATCCTATTACTATACCTCTTCCTCTGCCTCTCAGATCTCGCTCCTGAAGACTGCAGTGAAGTGGTGCAGGTGCACATGTACGAGATCTGAGAGGCAGAGAAGGCAGTACAGTAATAGGAAAATTACCATATTGAAATCAAATCTGATGCTTTTAAAAATTTTATTTGGTGTGCATTGGAAGAGGGGTAGTCTTATACGGCGAGTATATCCCAAACTCTATATTTTAACTGGAAAAGTTGGGGGTCGTCTTATATGCCCAGTTGTCTTATATGCTGGAATATATGGTACTTTAAATCAGCCGTTAGTTCAATGCACTTAGGGCAGCTTTCACACACACAAAATATAGATAGAAGAAACCCTTTTGACTGGTTCAGCCATGATTTTAAAATCATCAGGAATGAGCAAATGTGCTGGTTCACACTGTTGAATTATCCCTGCATGGTTCCTCTTGTGGAGCAAACTAGGAAGCCTTTGTATGACATTTGTTTACTGTTACATCCAAAGAAGAATCTCTGACTTGTGCTAACATACCAGAATTATGTGAAGGGACTTTTTCTTGTCTTTGGTTTGTTAAGAAAGAAAGTAACAACCGGAGCAACACAAGGATTGTAGAAAAAAAATAATAGTAGGGAAAGAATCAAAGGGATAGAAAGGAGTGTGATGAGGATTTTAAGATCACTGCTGGTTTAAAAGATGAAAATATTTCTTAAATGCTTAGAAATCTAGAGAATGCCCTGGAGCCATTAGATCCCATTTCATCTTGGGAGCTAAGCAAGGTCAGACCTTGTTAATACTTGGAAAGGAGAGTGTCAGGCAGAATCAGGTGTTGCGAGCTGTATTTCAGAGACAGTCAATGGCATACTGTCTCTGAATATTTCTTGTCTTTAAAAAGTCTCACGAAATAAATTGACCCAGCACTTGAAGACTATTGCCTTACATTTTATTTATTTATTAACTACATTTCTATACCACTTTTCTCACCCCTGGGGGGACTCAAAGCGGTTTACAACATAATAAATGGCAAATTCAATGCCTCACATCTATATAAATAAAAATGTAATGTTCGTTTGTGGGATTAACATAACTGTAGATAAAAACCATTCAAACTATAAAAACGTCAAACATAGACATAAGCATGAAACATATTATTGCTGCAATTAACAATGTAGACCCATTGTCTTCTCCCCCCTCCCCGACTCCCCAACTCTCCCTCCATAGCGCTTCATCCCTTCTTTTTATACCCTCCTTGCTTCCCTCACATCCCAACAGACACAAAAGTTATTTAGGTACAGATTGTATACACAATGGGGCCTTCTTGGGGGATGGTAAATGTGATATGAGGTCCTTGGGATGGGTAGAGGGAGAGTCTTCTCTGATGATGGTAGTAGGCTGCTGATCCGTTTTGTAAAAGTCCAGAGGAAGATGATAAATTGGAGCATTACCAAAGTATTCTCAAAGTGTTGTATTCTTTTGGTTATGACATCACTTGAATGTTTAAAAACTGAGAATATGGAGAAATCTGCTTAGCCATCTTTTATGGGCATGCAGGCATGCATACATAAACCTTCCCCAGTGAGTGATTATCAGACTGCTTTTTAACATTTCTGCTATTGCCTCTTGAAAAACAATGTTGACTCTGCAAGCAGATTTTTAGATAGCAAATACCTAATGCTTAAAAGTCAGCTGTAGGGTTAAGTAATGCAAAAGCTTTGAAGTATTCTGTTAATTACAAAGGCAGCTGTTTGAAAAGCTTTGTTGTTCCAGAGGGTGCCAGCTATTGAATGGAAGTGGAGATTCCTTGGGGGCTAAATGGCGATGATTGCCGATTAACCTGAGAACACCAGCTGGAGTGAGATGCGGAGTTTGATCCCAGGGATACTTCAAGCTCCAGCAATAACTGATGCTGTGACTTGTTTGTCTTCTGCTCTTATGATGCAAAGATGTTTGTGTGGAATTAGCTTCCTTTTACTCAGAAGTATAGTCAGTTCGGAACTAACAGGAAAAGGGAGAAAGGAGAACAACTAAGGACTGCTCCCTATTTTTTTTTCAGAAGTAGCAAGTGTATATTGGTGGCAGAGAGGATTAAACAGAAAAAGGATTCTAGAAATATGTATGACTGTGATCTCCCTGAAAAGAAATCTAGGCTCCATGGAAGCTTTTGAAGGCCTAGTTTTCTATGTCTTTTTAAAGAGGAGAGCAAGACTTCATGATTGGAGAAAGAACATCCAAAATGCATGGATCGTTTGTGTTTGTTTATATCGCTTTATAAATTGAGGGATCCCATAGCACCTAATGTTTTAAAACAACCACAATGGATTTAAACCCGGGAGTCATTGATTTTTATAGTTTTAAATTGTTTTTATATGAATTTTATTATGTGATTTAACCTGTTTTAAACGATGTATTTATGTGTGTTCGGCATTTAATTGTTGCCAGTCTGTATGCTGCCCTGAGGCGGGATAAAAGTGCGGCAAATAAATAAATAAATAAATAGTGGATTAAAGTAATGATAATACAGTCCAACAAAAATATATTGATGTCTTCATTTTTAAGCCTATTCCTGAGGTTTTTTGGGACACTGATTCAGAAAATTGCATCACATATACCACATCAGCTCTAGTTATTCAGTATGGATATCATGGTTTTTTATAGGTACGCAGATTGCGAGTGGTACTTGGCATGTTCTATATCTCTAAAACTTGAGCTGATAGGGGAAAATTAGGGCAATTTTTCAAACCAGCAGGTCAAATATACCTAGATACAGGACCAAAATGGGAATTAGCCAGTGACTGCATTTCTGTGCACACGATTTCTTAGATCATCTGGAGAGGCCCTGCTCTCGCTCCCACCCCCTTCGCAGGCGCGATTGGTGGGGACGAGGTGAGAGGGCCTTCTCTGTGGTGGCCCCCCAATTCTGGAACTCACTTCCTAAGGATATCAGGCAAGCCCCCACATTGGCAGTCTTTAGGAGGAGCCTGAAAACGTGGCTGTTCCAGTGTGCCTTCCCTGAATAAGGAAATAATTCCCAGCAAAATGTCCTCCGAAGCCCTTTAACTACTCGTTGGATTGCTCTCCCTTTATTTCTTTTTAAACCCTCTTACCAGATACATCTTAACTCTGTTCATGCCCAGCATTTATTTTTTAAATTTTAAACTATTACATTTGGCCCGGCCATAGGTTTTTAAATCCTTGCGTGTTATTGTTTATATGTGATTTATATTGTTTTATTTGCTTATTGCTTTTTGTTTTATTGATGTGTTGTCGGGTTTGACCTCATGTAAGCCGCTCCAAGTCCCCTTGGGGAGATGGTGGCGGGGTATAAATAAAGTATTATTATTATTATTATTATTATTATTATTATAAAGCAACATCAGAGAAAGCAAACAGCAGCAGTAGAAGTTTAAATTGTATGAACCATAATCAGCAAAATAAAAATGAACAATAAAGCATCTGAAAGGCCTTTTTAAAAAGTTATAGTGATTACTTTATTTTCTAAATAAACACACAAAATTTAAGTTATCAAGTCAGCCGACAGGTCTTAACAAGCAAGCAAGTTGTGCATTTTTGGCAGGTGAGTGTTTCACACATTGTCGGGAAGTCCAGCATGCACAATTTGATACTATAAAAAGGTGACATATATGAAATTAATTTGTTTTTGATTGTATGAGAAGCAGTTAATAAGCATCGGAAAGGCCTTGACTATTCAAAGTGTCTGTTGAAAAGACATTCGAATTGCTGCCAAATGAATGTGCTTGAGGGAGGGAAGCTAAAGATTGGGCATCACTAGATGAAGTCATAAGTTTAAGCATAATTATAAAAATAAATAGTTGGAATTGGTGCATTCTGAAATTTTTCAGGAACATTGGTGGTATATTGATGGAATAGTAGATTTTTAAAAATATCCTCAAGTGCTAATATCGTCTTCCTTTCACCTGCTGCTGGAAATAATGGACTGTATTTTATGGCTCACTTGTGTCCTGTTCCACTAAATTAAATTCCAAACACTTACTTTAATAATTTATATTCCTAATGTCTCCGTTCACTTAATGCAGCAATTTTTTCCAAAGATGTGTGAAAGATTTCCAATATGTTGCAAAGCAAAAGTCATCAGAACTAATGAGTGTTTCAGGAAGTCTTTAATCAAGCATTTAGTTTTCATCCTTACTCAAAGGCTTCGTAGTATAGAAATGAAATGTAAATTGAGGAACAAATTCATTTTTCCTTTCCGATTCAAAATGCAAACCATTAAGGGATTAGTGCTTGATACATTTTTTAAAGCGTTCTCTTACCTCATAAGGTTATGGCGTTTTGTTCCTCAGAGAACTGTGACAATTAATGTTTTG